ATAAGCCTTAGGCGAAGTTGGTCTATTTGGTCAAATGGAAAACTTCACAGACGGACTGTATGCGTTAGTTTACCAACAAATTATTTATTAAATCAAAACCCTGGTATGTGCTTACGATAGCGTTGTTCCGGGCGGCCCACTGGGATTTTTCCCCGGCGGGTCATCAGAATTTTATGTTCGCCTAATAAAATATACATCTTTATTGATGTCTCAGTGATACCCATTTCTTTGTATATTATCAGGGTAAAAAGTAGATAAATGTATCATCATGAGTAACCATGCACACAAAAAGTTGAAATGCGAAAAAACAAAATGTACTTTTTAAAATAGTGTGAAGTTACGCTTTCTAACCCTTCTCCAACACACACATATAGTGACCAAAGTCCATACCCAATTCCCTCTTACAATTAAAAAAAGTTAACCCCCCCTACACTGACAACCATACATCAATGCATCCAAACAACAATAGGTATCTGACACCCCTGTATACTCATCACACCAAACCACACCATCATATACAGCATAAGTGCATTCTTCTTCTCAGTAACCATTAGCCAAAGATTATGACATTGAATGTTTTACATATTTCTGAAGAAGTATAGTTTTAAAACATTTTATTAAGATAAAAACAACAGTTATTTTATTTCATATGCATATAATATATAGTAAAAAAATTAACTTTTTGAGTTAAAACATCCTATATATATACAATATATGAGTGCTTAGTCTAAAAAAAATTACTACAGCTAAGTAATAAATTTTCATTAAAAAATTATAAAAATGACCCATACATATCGGAACCCAACTATTTTAAAATTGATACAACTTTCTATACTATATTTTTAAAAAACCACATACAGATAAATGAATTACTAAAATACTATGTAGGGCATATCTCTCTACAACTTCCTAGTTCTTTTAACATTCAGTAAAGAAAATGGTCTACCAAAGACATTAGAAAGTTAAAATAACATTGGCTACTGTAAATACAATTCATTGAAGTGTCAGTAAACCAAACCACACTAGTTTTTCATAACTGACTTACACCCCTTGCACAGGCGAGAAGTCATCAATGAGAAATATTTTTTCCAGGGGAAATTACTCTGATCTTTACAACTCTGAGACAGTTTGATAATCACATTAACATAAACAAGGGGACACAATTTAATAATCAAATATTACATGAGAGCTAATTAATTAGGGAGTTCACTCTCAATTATGTGTATATACTGACAGAAGATCTGATAAAAAGGAAGTTTAAAATCCCTTAAGATGACATGAAATAAACAAGGAATCTAACACAACAGAGAAATGTAGATTTGGCACGACGAGCCTAAAGAAGCTAAAATGGTATAATTAACTACATTTTTAAATACACAATGTATGAGTGCTTAGTCTAAAAAAAAAAATTAAATACATTTTTTAATCATATTTTTAAGTAGTTATTACTTACTTAGTGTTTGTAGAACAACAAAAGAAGTTGAAATTACACTAGAATTAAACTACTGCAACTATCCCAGTGCTTCATAGGTTACAAATATATATATATATATATATATATATATATATATATATATATATATATATATATATATATATATATATATATATATATATATATATGTAACCTTTCAAGTACCCTTTCAAACCATACAAATTTTTAGTAGCAGTCCAATGCTCTACCATTTGACCACACAATCCCCATACTATATAAAAGCAAAGTATTAATATCTTAATCAGAACATTTTTCAAACATTTTCCCAGGAAGGGGGTTAAAAAAAATTTTAATTTATTTTTTCATTCCAAGTTGGAAAGAAGCCTGAATGTAAAGTGAAAGAATTGCTGGTCTTATTTGCACATTCCAGTATACACAATTTTAGATGTTAGAAATTCGAAAACTTTAGATGTAAGAAATTCCAAATATGTTTAGAGGATTGAATTTAAAACAAAAATTTTATTGTGACCTCTGATTAAATACAAACTGGAAGATATTTGTAAAGTAAACAAAATATAATAATGTTTCAATAAAAAGAACTTGTATTTATTTTTTCAACTTCATAAACCCAATGTACAGGTCCTAAAAAAATCATTTGGAAACAATTTGGTTTTCTACTCAGTCAGGAGTATTCCCTCAGAGTACACAATCTGTTTACCCATCATGCTTTGGTTACAATTTTTATTTACATTTATAAGCATAAAACAACCTAAAAAACACACCTACTCACTAATACTAGGTGTAACTAGATCTATAAATAACATTCAACAAGAAAAAACAACTAGAACAATAATTATTGAATTCAACTATTTAAATGAGTATAACTGTGTTTAAAATTATGCAGTAATATGTAATGGAATTCAATGGAAAGCTTGCATGATATAACATTAACAAAGATACCCCCACGCAGTTTTATATCAATGTAAAAATAGCGTCACAATCAGTTGGAGACTGAAGAATATCATACTTAGCATTATGTTGGAATGATAACATCATTTTTTTTTTAAATTAAAAAAAAAAAATCAATAATAGATGTATAAAAACTCAAACAAACAACAGCCATAGTTAATATATATTTAACTTCAAATTAAACAGCAATTAACTGTTAGATTAATTGACAAATTAACATGTGCAATTAATTTTAGGTAAATTATTATTGGCATAGAACATTATTATTATTAATGAGCAATAAAAATAGGGTAGTTACATAGCAAATAACAATAAAAATAGGGTAGTTACATAGCAAATCAAAAGGAAAAATGAAATGCCATTTAAAAAAACGCAAATGAAAATGGTAATATGTGTACAAAAGAACAAGACAGTTTCACACAAGTTGATGGTAAAATGTATCAGACAGGAAAATAAAGAATTCTAGCAGTAGATCAATACATTTCAAACCATGCTAACTTGACATGTGATGTGGTTTGTAAAGCTTCCTAAAACCCTTCTGCAGCCAAAGCATTTTACAAAAATAAAAGAATTTCCTTTACAAATATCAACAACTGTGTTAAGATTTTTCTGGGTCAAAGTAGTGATTCTAGTAAACACTCAACAACCAATCTTACAAGAAGTTGATATTTTAATATTGCTAACGTGTTTGATATTTTAGATTTAAAAAAAAAAAAAAAATTTGAGATTTGTTTTTTTTTCCTAAACCTTTTAAATAAATTACTACATTAAGCTTTAAAATTATGTGAACTGAAACATTGGAGACATTTTTATTTACAAAGAGTTATCACTCTTGAGTACTATAATGGTTGGTTTAATAAAATCAAATTATTTATATAATTGCTGATGGATTGTTTCTATAATTGCTCAACATGATCACAGATAACTAACATTATAAATATTTATGGAATGGAATGTCTTTCACACTGAAATTGCTTTTTTTTAAAACTGAAGCAGGCAGCACAATTTGGTCGTCTTATGTGTAAAATGTTTACACAAATTCATAAAAATACCCAGAATGCCTGTGTTTTTTTTTCTAACAATATGTATATAAAACATGTTTATATCTATAGTAGATAATTCAAAGACTGGCTAAATAAATCAAAACAAAAGTAACCTTTTTTCATTTGTTACAATGAAATATTGTGTTATATTTTTAGTAGAAAATTTAAGAATATAAGAAAAATTTAAAGTAAATGTTTTTAATTTACTTAATCTTATTATGGTTATTAAATTTATATGAAAAATTATTTTGATTTGGAAAATTGCATTAACAATGTTGTTGTTTAATTATAGAGAAAGTTCTATCTTGATGTGAGGTTGAGTTTAACATAATCATGGTAAACTAAAAATGTACCAGTAGCTTCCCTTTACCAAGCAAATTTAGAAAGGTTTTACAAAAAGTTTAGATTGGAGCACTTAGAAAGTAAGCTAAATTTTTTTAAAACAATGACATTTTAGTAAATATTTCTTCATGATGATGTATGGCCTTATGGCACAGCTGATTTTCAAAAAACAAAAATGGTAAAATTAATTTTTTTAACATGATATATTTAGTGATGATTGTCAATATCAGTACGTAGAGTTAAAATTTCTTACCATGTATAATAATGAATGTTTTAAATATCAGTTCAAAGAGAAATGTAATAAAGAGCTTATACAACGAATAAATTATAAAGCTTATAGTTGAAAAATATAATTTTGAATACATCAACAAAAATGGATAGGCGCTAGCATTCCTTTACTGAGCCGTTTTCCGCAATAATTAATAATAAGCCACCTGCTTAATCTACATTTAATAGTATAAAAAACTACAAGTGAAATCTGATGATATAGCTTTATAAAAAAATTTAAATAATAAATAAATACAAAAACCACAACTAGCTTACAAGTATAAAAAAAAAGCTCAATCATAAAAACCAATACAAAATATATTGGGCAAAAGTATTTTAAATAGTGAAAAAACAATGGTTGGTGATACCTGAAAAGGGGTGAATGGCATCAGTAGTAAAGAAATAAAACTTGTAAAAAAAAACGTACACGGAGTATCACATAGAGATGGAAGCTTTAGAAGCGTTGATATGTTGAGCAAGAGCAAAAAATAACACCAGAACTGTTGAAAATAAACTAGTTTGACACAATCAACATTTTTTTAAGAATAGATGGAAAAACAACTGCAACATTGCAGGTAAGTGACAAGTGAAATGAATAAATACTGTGAGAAAATTAGAATGGCTTCAACAGTTTGAACCACTGCTGGGAATTCAGTCAAAAAACAATGCAACATGGCATAAACTTGGATTTAGTCACATGACTGTAAACGTCAAAAGTAACATAAATTCCTGTTTTCAAAATATTGTTTCAAATCTTAAAACGTAACATTTTGTTATGAAATACTCTAAACATGGTTTGTTTATTAATAAAATTGAACTTCAAAAGAAAAAAGTAACAAATTTGTAACAGCTCGTGATGTAAATTTATTTTAAATTAAAAATCTTTAAAAAGTGTATTGCTCTGAGTGCATTATGTAGCAATTAACCAAAGAGGGGGGGACCTACATTTACTTTCATCCACATTCTTAGATTTATATACATAATTTACATGAAGGTCCTGAGAAAAGTGTCTAGTACACAAAATACAAGAGTATGTTATCAAATCCTAACTCTACTAGTCTGTTATTTGGTCTTCAATGTCAGATTTTGTTTTACTAAAGTCAGCAGTATCAGAAGAGAGTAGAAATGTAAGCTTTTATACGGGTGACTTATAAATAAAGCAGATAATAAATCATGATATCCCACAATACACCATTTACACCTCCACTAGAAATTTCTAAAAGATGAGTAAACAAACCTCACAGCTACAAAATAATTTACTGTAGACATAAAAAAATATATTTTATCTGGCCATCTGTGTGCAAACAAGTGAAAAGCTGAAATTAATAAATTAAAAAAAAAACCTCAACATGATAACAATCTCCTCAAAAGCTGTAACTGAATTGGTGATGGTGTGGCACACACAGATGAGCCTGGTCATACATTCTTCAGACATTACACAATAAAATAGGGGTCTGGTTATTCTGAGGGAAGGGACCTGGGGATCAAACTGTCTTAGGCATGATAGGGACTACATTTGTAATTATAAATAGAATTTAAATTTTTTTTACATCAGATGTAATGATAATTTTGTAAATTCTAAATTACTTTTTTTTTAAATTACAGTTCATCCATACCTGTATAAAAGACAATTTTAAGTTACTGAATATTGTTTCAACTTAATTAATCAAACACAGATTTCATAGAGTAAAAAAGTTCACATAAGAATATGGCTGATAAAAATTATATATACAATGATGATGTGATGAAGGGTATATTAATAAACGGTTGGCTAAGACTAAGGCTAACACTAAGCAACAAGCGTTAAAATTTGTAGATCCACAGCATAACGCAGGCACCATCACACTTAGCCTGGCTTCTGGAATAATCCAGGTCACAGTAGCCGTCTCCACCGCTTAGGATAATCATGGCATTGCTGCTAGCCTTCCTGGCGATGGTCTGACGCAGTGCTCCGCCCCTAACCAGGCTTTTGGTGAAGTTGGTTTTCTTGGGGGAGCCGGGGGAACTGCTGTTGTGCTCGCCTTTCAGAATTTTGGCATTGGTGGACGAAGAGACAGGTGAGCTGGAGAGCTGGTCGTTACTTTTGTGGGAGGGTGAGGGTGCTGTGAGGAAGGAGGAGTTTGAGGAGTCAGCGCTTGAGTTTTGAGCTGAAATGCCTAGGTTTATCCCCAAGTTGTCTTCCCCTACTGTCGAACTGTCTGTTGTGTTAGATTCGTCCATGTTTTCATTTCTCCCTATATGATCCTCCAGTAACACCTCATACAACATCTCTACCTCGCGGGGCTCGTGAGAGTCAAGATCCACACTGGGGTTATCCGACTGGACTATCCGCTCGGCAAGCTCCGAACGAAAAGATAAAGTCCGGCTCTTCCTGTCAGCTTCGGTAATTCTTCGACTGCTTCTTTTAAGTACTGGCGCCGAGTCATCAGATGATTTTTTGCGCCTGGAGTTTTGATTTTTAAAACTGTGTTTGTTTTCATCTAAACCATTAGTATCCGGTTCAGACTTTGATAAATCTGACGACTCCTCCCATGCGAGAATTTCTTCAGCCTGCTGGTCCGTCAAGGGAGGTAACGTGCCATACTGTCTAAGAGTACTAGTTCCTGATTCTAAAGTTCTGTATTTTAAATCTGTCGCCTGCTGTCCTTCGTCCATCTCAACGACTTTCTCAAGCTCCCCCATCTCTGACTGTGACCTCTCCAGCTTGCGACGACTCGGCCTTGACTTAATGGTTGACTTGAGAGAGCTGGCCCGAGTTAGCTCCAGGGTGCTAGCAGAACACTGCAGGGGGATGAGAAACTTGACCGGTCCCTTGTGGGCATGGAGTGACACGCTTGGCCGCCCACGGTACAGAGGAACACCATCACTGAAACAGAACGAGTACTATGTTTAAACTTATATAAATCACAATTGAAAAAAAAAAATTTAAAAATCAAGTTTTTCCAACTTCTAATACTGATAAGGTGCCGTACCTCAGCCTAGGTAGTGGCACTGTTAAAACAATTCCTGAGCTAGTCCCTATCCAGAGCAGTCCTTTACTTAAGGCAAGGCTTGTGACGATCATATTGTCTGTAGCACCACTCAGGGACCAGAGCTTTTCTGTACAGATTTGTTGTGGAAATAGTGAGAAATTTATTTTGTCAAATTGAAAGTCATGGAACAAATAAGAGAATTTTCCTTCAATTATTTTTTGTTTTATTACAAAGTTAGAACTCCACTAAAAATGTATTTGGCTTAAGAATAGCAATAGAACAATACAGTATAATACCGAGGCTTTTCTTAATGCTTGTATCATTAGTAGGGTAAAGGTCAGGGTGAGGTTGGGGTAAAGGTTAAGGTCAGAGTTGGGGCTAAGGTTAAGGATAAGGTCAAGGTTGGGGTTAGAAAAGTCTTGCCTTGCAACTCCTCTCAGTGTTCATTAAACTACCAATTATATTTGTCATCTATAAGTTTAATCAAAGCAGAAATATTTGAAACAACATAATTTTACCATTGCGAATTCTGTTGACAAAGTTGCCGACACTCAGCTCCTGAATGCTCTCCATGGTCTCAATGTGGAACAGCTTGATGACAGAACTGTCTTTGAATGAAACCCAAATCCCGACACCAGATTTCACCACTATTTCAATTGGTTTCTGTTCATCCCCCAGCACAGCATGTTGACTCTAAAACAAAGTAATTTGATTGGCTAAATGTCTTAGCATACTAAGTAAATCTAATAATATTGGAGAATGGACAAACATGGATGATTTTAAAATAGATATATTTGTAATGAATTTTTAAACATATGAACAATATTCTAAAATAAATAATAATAATAATAATGTCAAATCTTAAGTTCTCTTTCTCTAACATGAGTCAGGTACCCATTAGAGCTGGATGGACTAAGGAACATCCTGCAGATAGAGTCCAGACCGAGATCAAATTCAAGACTTTTGGGTCTGCAGTTGATTGGTCTACTGCCCGACCATACTGTATATAGGTGTGTATGAGTTAAAAGTAAAAATCCTATTTCTATATTAAAAGTGTTTTAATCCTTTGGACTATGGTCAAGGATGCACGTCACACAGAGAGTTAGTGTTGAACCAAACTTGTGTTGAAGACTATCTATCTCTAACAAGAACAGCTTCACATCAAATACAATAATGGAGGGTTAGTGTTGGACCAACCTTCTGTTGAAGACTGTCTATCTCTAACAAGAACAGCTGATTGCCACATGACAGGTAAATATCTTCCTCATGGATGAAGTGAATCTTGACAGGACAAGTACCAAGTGTCAAGTTTTTTGGTGAGTGGATGTCCCAAGCACCAGCTGAAACAAGTCAATAGATCATCAAGGATTTGTTGTGGCTAATATACAATACATCATACAAAACAAAAACAATACAAAGAAAAATAAGTATGTCTTATAGGTAGTAGTAAGTTACTCTTTCACAGCCCTTTAGGATCAAGAGCATGTTGCTAAAAAAAAAACAGTAAACATGTAAAACCTACATAAATGTAATTTCATCAGTTGCCAGTATTTAAATTGTAAAATATTACTAAATTATACTTAAATTTTTAGAACAGACATACCTTCTACAATGGCTATTTTCTCTCAAAACAGTTGCAACAAAATAAAATCATTACTAAATTAGTTTTAATTACATTCCTTTCATACAGGAAATAGTATTATCTTTTTATGGAAGTAAGTATGTTTTGAATTTTGGTATAGAAAATCATACACTAAAATATATTCTGATATTTTATTCTGATGTAACAAGGCACTGTGGTGAGGTAGAGAAGAATGATGTTCTTACCTGAAGTACGAGAGTAAACTGCCAAACACCCATTGTCTAATGCACAAAATAATCTCTCATCGACAAACTTAAGGGAGATAATCAGGGAAGGGGACTTGATAACAGATATTGAGTTCCTATGAACTCCATCGGTGCCGATCAAAGGAAATATAATTATTCTGAAAAATAAAACAGCTTGTATAGAGTTCGCTCAAGTATTTTTAAGCATTACTTAATCCTGCATACTCATGATAAACAGTCACCCATATTGCGTATAACAATTATCTTACAAAATGACAAATAGAAAAATATACAAAACTGGCCATGGACAGAGATGGTCATTACGTTATATGCAGACATGCACAAAGCTGTGCATGATAAGCAATTAATTTTAATTCTAGAGTTAAATCTAGTTATAGGCTCTTTGAACCTGCTTTGATAGAGAATCTAACAAAACATTTGTTGAGTTATTGCCCCTTGTACATTTTACAAGATATTGTAACGACTTAGAATTGCTCTTACTCGTTATCCGCAGTTGCTATCCACACTGTGTCTTCAACAAAAATATGAGCATCTGGTTTGGTCATTGTACCATAGCCAGGCACCAATTCTGCAGCAGTAATTTCACACTTACAGGCCCTTAAAGTAAAATAAAAAACCATGGCAAAAATGTAAAACAGAAGCAACAAAAAAAAATATATCAAGTAAAATTTTAAACCATAAATTCTGCAGCAGTAATTTCACACTTACAGGCCCTTAAAGTAAAAGAAAAGCCATGACAAAAATGTAAAAGAGGTGCAACAAAAAAATAATTTATAAAGTAAAATTTTAAAACCGCACCACTTATAAAATTGTACCTTACAGGAGTCAGTGTAGTTGAATCCTCATTTAACACCTAAGCAGATTATGTTGCTCTTATTGACATAATTGTTGACAGTGTCTTTTTAATATTTTATTAAAAATAGTTGCCAGAGTTTATTATTAATTATTAAAAAATTTAGTTTAATTTAACTTATTTTAATAATCTAGGCTTTTCCATATAAATTGAAAATTGTTTCTGAAAAGGGGAAATAACAGGGTACAATATTTATTAGCCACTATTGGGTGAAATTATCAAAATGAAGGGTAACGAATAAAAAAAGAGAGGATTGTGTACAGATCTGGGTGAGCGTCTCAGAGGATGGACACACCCGACACAAGTACTCACTTAAAAGACTCAACAAGTGCAGGCATCTCAGAGGATGGACACACCCGACACAAGTACTCACTTAAAAGACTCAACAAGTGCAGGCATCTCAGAGGATGGACACACCCGACACAAGTACTCACTTAAAAGACTCAACAAGTGCAGGCATCTCAGAGGATGGACACACCCGACACAAGTACTCACTTAAAAGACTCAACAAGCACAGGTTTAGAGTTGTGCACAGATATAACAGAGATCTGGGTGAGCATCTCAGATGGACACACATGACACAAGTACTCACTTAAAAGACTCAACAAGTGCAGGCATCTCAGAGGATGGACACACCCGACACAAGTACTCACTTAAAAGACTCAACAAGTGCAGGCATCTCAGAGGATGGACACACCCGACACAAGTACTCACTTAAAAGACTCAACAAGCCCAGGTTTAGAGTTGTGTACAGATATAACAGAGATCTGGGTGAGCATCTCAGATGGACACACATGACACAAGTACTCACTTAAAAGACTCAACAAGTGCAGGCATCTCAGAGGATGGACACACCCGACACAAGTACTCACTTAAAAGACTCAACAAGTGCAGGCATCTCAGAGGATGGACACACCCGACACAAGTACTCACTTAAAAGACTCAACAAGCCCAGGTTTAGAGTTGTGTACAGATATAACAGAGATCTGGGTGAGCATCTCAGAGGATGGACACACCCGACACAAGTACTCACTTAAAAGACTCAACAAGTGCAGGCATCTCAGAGGATGGACACACCCGACACAAGTACTCACTTAAAAGACTCAACAAGTGCAGGCATCTCAGAGGATGGACACACCCGACACAAGTACTCACTTAAAAGACTCAACAAGCCCAGGTTTAGAGTTGTGTACAGATATAACAGAGATCTGGGTGAGCATCTCAGATGGACACACATGACACAAGTACTCACTTAAAAGACTCAACAAGCGCAGGTATCTCAGAGGATGGACACACCCGACACAAGTACTCACTTAAAAGACTCAACAAGTGCAGGTTTAGAGTTGTGCACAGATATCTGGGTGAGCATCTCAGATGGACACACCAGACACAAGTACTCACTTAAAAGACTCAACAAGCCCAGGTTTAGAGTGGTGCACAGATATAACAAAGATCTGGGTGAGTGTCTCAGATGGACACACCAGACACAAGTACTCACTTAAAAGACTCAACAAGCCCAGGTTTAGAGTGGTGCACAGATATAACAGAGATCTGGGTGAGCATCTCAGATGGACACACCAGACACAAGTACTCACTTAAAAGACTCAACAAGCCCAGGTTTAGAGTGGTGCACAGATATAACAGAGATCTGGGTGAGCATCTCAGATGGACACACCAGACACAAGTACTCACTTAAAAGACTCAACAAGTGCAGGTTTAGAGTGGTGCACAGATATAACAGAGATCTGGGTGAGCATCTCAGATGGACACACCAGACACAAGTACTCACTTAAAAGACTCAACAAGTGCAGGTTTAGAGTTGTGTACAGATATAACAGAGATCTGGCCCAGCTTCTCCGAGGATGAGCACACCCACATGTGCTGGATGCCTACACTGAATGGTGAGTTCTCTTGATTCAAAAACACAGCCACTGCACACTTCACCTACAGTTGCCAGAAAAAAAAAATCATTGTCTATATAGTAATCTCATTCAGATCAGTGTCTATTTCTAAAAAATTACAAAAAAGAAAAATCTCTAGCATAGAGCTATATATATTTTTATTTTGTTTATGAATATGAAATAAAAGTGATAAATGTGAAGCAGTCTTGTTAAAAACAAGTTAATAAAAAGTCTAGTGACAATTTAAGCGCAATTTCCTTAATTAATTTTTTGTGACCGAACGAAAGGATATTTTTGAAAACTTTCTTGGCAATATTGTTCTAAATTATGGCAGGAATTGATTGGTAAATGCTTCAAGTCGCTAAGTGGTCTGGTTGCCGAGATATGGGCCAAAAACTGCATTTTTTTGAGGTTTTTTGGCTTTTCCGGGAAATCCAGGAAGGAATTCCGGGAATTTTTTTGGCCCACAATCATCCTCTGATGATTTGCTTTTGGAACTAGTCCTCGATATTGCTTCGTTGAGGAGGAGATACGGCTTAAAGCTGCGGACACACATCCATCCATCCATCCATCTAGAAATAATGAATTAATAATTGCAATTGTCAGTATGGAAATTGAGCTAAAAATGTAGATTCTAACTTACTTTTGTGTAGCTCCTAGGAATATCAACGGGTAGATGTTTCATAAACTGTGCAGGAATTGTGTCGTAGTTGCTGTCATCGCTGTTGGCCGAGCCATCCCAGGCAGGGCTGTTGGACTTGTCCAGGGCCAGTTTGGCCATGAGAAAATCTATACACCAGTCCTGTTTGATTGCCGCAGTTTGGGTTTGTATGATGTACTGGGGTTTATCAGACCTGGGGGTGGGGTAGATGGGGTGATTTAATATTCAACAGTGTAAAAAGTGTGGATGTAATATTTTTAAACTGGGGATTCACAAAGTGTTTTAGTGTCTCTTGGTGATAGTTTACAGAGGTTTGTTTCTGTCATGAGCTCAAATGTAATAACAATCCAAATACTTAAGGGAGATCATCTTGAAAGAGTTCTGATCAAATAGATTTAAGTAAGAATCCATACAGCATATAAGCATATATTGACATAGTGTGAAGTACTTCAACTTGCAAGTCACAAGCTAAGTTTTGGTTTGAATTTAGGACATTCCTAAGCCCACCCTGCTCCAACCAGTACACATCTAATGTTGGTATATGAAAATGTGACCAGGCCATTATGTACTAACCACACAATCCCTTCATATCCCATGACCACGCTAACACATGAATTTAATTTTACTATGTAAATCATCATGCTTCAAAAAATAGTTTTATATTGTACAAAAAGCCTTACTTTGAGGTATCCTCAAGCACTATGGAGCAGCTGTTGACAAGACGGAGTTGCTCATCTTTGATTTGAATCATCCTTTGTAGATCACACAAAATTTCATTGATCAAATCATCATTGAGGCCCTGGATTTCAATTGAAAAAGCAAATTTTAACAAAGGCATTTTTTTTTAAAATTTTATCAAGCTAAAGAAATCAATTAAATACTAGGCTTTTTCAATACAGGTGAGAAATTGTGATGAAACAAGCTCCATCAGTATTAACAAACAAACAGCCATTTCCTAAACTCTAGAGAAAATGCCAACTAACATGACCAGTATATGAACGTTTGAGCGAAGCCAACAGTCCACTGATCTGGCCAAACACTGTGTAGTCGTGCAGCATCTCATGGAGATCTCCAAAAAGATGAAACGGATCTTCTTCTGGTCTCTCTGAAATATCAGATTCACAATAATTAGAATTTATTTATTAATGAAATAATGGAACTGATTCTTGCAAATAAAAAAAATAAAAAACCATTGATATTGGCAGTAAAGTGGTCACATTTGAATAAAATTATGTCTATTTTGTATGCATCATTAAATATAATAGTAATAATATTAATGCTAACTAAAATTATTTAAAATGCATGCGATTACTGGTTTAAGGTTACTAATATTGAGAGTAAAGTACCCATCCTTGAAAAAAATGATTTTATAGAGGCATAAAAATACTGATACAAATATATAAAGAAAGCAAAGTACCCATCCTTGAACAAATGATGTCTATAGAGGCATGAAAATATTGATATAAAATAATAAATATTTAGAGTACAGTACCCATTCTTGAAGAAATGATGTCTATCTTGTCAGCATCACTTTTAATGACACTCAGCATGTCAGGTGTGATAGCCGTGTCCTTCAGTTCCAGGTCACGAACATTGGCCATCCACCGCAAAGCTAGTCTTTCCATCAGAAAACCCGCCTGTTCTCTAAAATAAAACACAGTCACATGTGGTATAAAAGGCCACACTGTTGGGTCATATCATACACATTTGATTTCAAAGAGCTGGTGAAATTTAATTTTTTTTTTTTTAAGTGTATAAAATAGGTTTTGGACATTTAATTTACAATGTAAAATAACAAATTTTCTGAATTAGTGATTATTATTTCCAATTTTAAAAGTTTCTCTTAAATTTAAATGTCAAATAGAAATGCCATTATAAGTGGCGTGGTGCATTTTTTGTTTTACTTATTTTCACTTTTCCCTAGACTTATAAAAAAACACTTGTATAAACCACAGAAAGTAGAAAATGTGTTTTACTTACTTTTCAATTACTTTCACACATAACAGAATATCATTCATCAAGATAATTCGTCTTGTTTTGCATTTCATGTTTGCAACATCACCATACTAAAAATAAATGTAGTGTTTTTTTAATATATTATCAACTTTCAAAATCTGATATTTGTTACAAAAAATACTCATTATGGAAAAAAAATCATATGACTCAATTAGAGGATTTAATATTTTTATTTTGAATCATTTTCATAACTATTTAGGCCTCAATTTCAGAACTTTTGGGTAATTATTAAGAAATTTTTAAAAATGTTAATGACATTTAATTTCCAACATTGTTCCCTAAAATTAGTGGTCAAAATGATGTATTAAACTTTGCTTTCTTAAGCAAAATCCAATGGACTTGAACTTTTAATACTGCCTTTAAACTTACTAAAGGTGATTTCAAAGATCAACTCACAATTTGATCAACCATATCGGAGCGCAAAAATCTTCGCTTCGGGTCAGGGTTAAGGTTCCACGAGGTGAGCATGTGTTGAACTTTCTGCTTGATGAGTAGTTTGATGGTCTGCTGAGCCTGGAAGTGCTGCTCACTCTGGCGCTTGCGCTCGTTAAGCTTGTAGGCCACGTTCTCTAGTTCAGTCAAAGCCAGCTGTAGGGCTCGTCTGTCATGGTGATTTTGTGGTGTGTATTTGATCAAATCCTGTTGAGATATTTAGCACAAGCTTTTACTGTAGTTTCAAATTATGCACACAAAATAGTGAAAACATACAATTCTTATAAAAATGTCAGCAGGAGTATACAGTATGTTTAATATGGTGGGTTTTTTCAATGCCGATATCACATATAAGTTCAGGTTAAGGATAGAAATACTAGATGAGACTTTAATATATCTTGAGAATGTATTTTTAAAAGCAAAAAAAAATAAACAAAAAATCTCTAATGTATATAAATGTAGTTAGACATCAGATTTTAATTTTTTGAGAGAGCATTTGTATCACTCACTTGTAAAAACATAATGAACTGCGGAAACCTCTGGACTGGCTTAACCATCATGCCAAATATTGACAACCTGTCGATACCCTGTTTTTCTCTGCTCTGTAGAAATTAAACCAATATATGCTACAGTAAATTAAAATGGTAGAAATTGAAATAATTTTTTAACTACTGAAAATTTATTGTCCTTCTGGAGCAAAGGGTTACCGTGAGCCATCAAAGATTAATCAAAACCACATCAGGGTTAGGTTTTCATTAATAATGTGTTGGAATTTTTAAAACTTTTCACAAAAATATTAAATATGTATAGATGTGTAATATTTGTAATTGAATACCTGTAGAAATTCGTCAAAATTAGCTCGGCTTCTTCTCAATGTCCTGATTTCATCCATGGCTGCAGCAAAGTTGTTGACATATGTGCTGTACTCATTGACCAGCATTGTCTTGGAGAACTGAAAACAATTTTCAAAGATAAATTTTTTTTTCTTAATCCTGGTGTTGTGATACCTAATGGATCTAAGATAACAATCATCTGTTGTATTAGGCAGACTAAAACACAACCAGCATTAAAACGACAACCATCAGTGTTCAATATAACCCAATGCTTATACCATAATATCTCTTTGTAAAAAAAAAACTATCATTTGTAAAACAAAACAGACATAAAAAAAAACATCTCTAATTAAATGTCACTCACTGAAGCAGTGAAGATGTCTCCAATTTTCTCCTCCTCATCCCACTTTTTAACAGACTCGGAGAGTTCAATCTGAAACATCTTGTGGTGGTTGATGATAGCTTTCATAGCCCCAAACACTGGCTTTAACCGGGACTTGGAGTTGTGAATGTATTCAAGCACTGGTTTCTCATATTCCTGAATACATTTGTTTCAATAAATATCATTGTAAAACAATTCTTTAATTGAAACTAGTTAAAGCAAAAAAAAAGTATTTATTGTAAAATTTAATATATTCTTTTATATCCCGAAGTTAAAACAATTTATTTTTTGAACCTTTCATTTAGAAGATTTTATTCAATACTCCTAATAAAAATGTATTGTTTACTAATATATTCATAAAAAATATATTAATAAAACAATTTAAATTCCTAACACAGTTTCAGTTTTTATTAAAATATTGTGGCAAAAACTAGAAGGTGGTGTTTAAAACAAGTATTACCTGTAAAACTCGTTCTAATGTTGCCAGGTATGACCCTTCACTTTTGATTATAAGATCCATTATAATCCTACGTTTTTTCTGGTCACAAATATGGAGCAAAGCAACAAATTTTAAATACAAGATTATATCCTTCATTATACAAGATCTGATAGAGATTTTAAACAAAAAAATACAAGATGCACACATAGAAATTTTCTTTTGTTTTGTAGCAGTTAGAAAATATAATAATAAAAGAGTAATACTGAACTCAACTAATTAATGACAGTGCTAATTGCTGTTTATGACTAATTACGTTTAAAACTAGAGGAAGAAAAAAAATGCTCTCCACTTTGACAGAAGCTAGGTAAAGTGCAAAAGCAAAAAGGAAAAACATAAATAAACAAATACTGGAAAATAGAAAATAGATCTCATGAACATAATTTATTTTAAAACAGATATGTTCTGTGTATCAAAATAAACATGCAAAAAAAGAGAGCAAGCTGCTGAAACAACTTGATCACAGCACAAAAGAATAGTTGCTATGACAATATACCTGATTTTCTGTCAGGCCTTCAGGCTCTGCAGGCAGGGCTGGGGGTGGGTGTTTATCTGGGTTGATGATAACAGGCAGACAAGCTGTGGAGCCAGGGTCGTCATCACTGGACACGTCAGGCTGTGCAGTTTTATTGGATCTGGACAGGAATGGCTGGCAGACATTGTAATTAAAACATTTTAATGGCTTTCTTTTTCAATTTTCAAACACAAATAGTGGGCATGTGTATATTATTTATATACATAACCCTACACAAATATATAAGATTTGAAGACAAATATTTATTTACCAAGCCACTGGAAGTTTTAGATTTTCCTGGTTTTGGTGGCAAAGGTTTTTCTGGCGCTTCAACTGCCCCTGCTGAATCGCCCTCCTGATAGATAAAAACTAACGACTTGATCATCAGGGCAAAATTGGAAAACAAAATGTTTTGTAGCAATGTTTTATGACAGAGAGATGAATAATGAAAAGGGTTTAATATTTGCAGACAAAACTGACCTGGACAGAAGACTCGTCCTCATCATCAAACTCAGAACCCCAGTCAAAACTTAAATCAGCTTCATCACAAGATGCTTCTGAATCGTCCAACTGGTCCTCAGGTGGGATATTTGGATCTAAAACACAGAACACATTTTTTTATTTTATTTTACTAGTACAAATATTTATCGATAAAACAGAAGATCATTCAAGGCACAAAACTTAACCAGTTTTTTTTGTAATTTTATCATGTGTAATACCTTTCACAGCAGACCCCAATTAACAATGTACATGTTGATTCACATATTTTAAAGAAAAAAAAAACTAAAACATTTTTTCAAAAGCTAAATGAAGAAATAAAAAAAAATTAGAGTGTTACTGCCTCGCATAAATTAGATAAGATTACAAGAAGGTTTGACCTTTAAAATATAAATGCCATTTCAATAAAAATTGGTGGCGGTGTCCATTACTATGATTAATTTTGGTACCAGATTTTACTGATGCATAAAAAATCTACTGTCTACATCAAAGCTTTTAGCATATACAATTAACTAAACAACAATCACTAATTTTCAAATTGTTAGTAGATTACATACCAGAGTGAGTTTTGTCCACATCAAAGCCCCTAGCTTTGAGTATTTGTATATCATTATCACTGAGCTGTGATTCTGTGCTCTTGAGGAAATTCTTGTGATACTCCGAGTTCTCCCCTTTAGGGATGACACCAGAATGTGATGGATTGATGAAGTCTACAGGCACCTGGGATTAACCATTTAGATCAGTTTTTGCTTTTTTTTAGTAAGTAAACATGCAATTTTTAGGCTTTATAGAAGAAAAAGAACTTCAAATTAAAAAGTATCTTTATACAAGCAATGATCAGTTATAAAGATTACATTTGTACTTTACATAACTGGAAAACAATTTTTTCACAATTTTTTGTTAGTTGAATATACAAGAAAACAGTTTTATTAAATATGTTATATACAAAATTACTGAGAAAATATTCGTATGAATTGAGCAATACTAAAAAACAAATTTTAATGAAATGGGTAATTAATTTGGCTGGAAAAGTCCCAACATATATAGTATGGTTTATAAATTAGTTTCCTATCATTTGAAACATTCTCAAAGAAATACTCACGGGGCTTCCTGTACCTTCCTGACACCCTCTGTTACCCAGGGAGAGCAGGGAGACTGATGACCTTAAAGAATCTGTCCGATGAGAGGATTTCTTCGACTTCCTCAGCTGGACGGCACTGGGATCCGGGGTCGAGCACGACACAGGAGCCGTACCCTGGCCCTCGTGCTTGACCAGGTCACAAACTGTGTCATAGATTAGGTCATCAGTCGTGGCATCCGGCAGTTCTTTATCACTTTCCAGGTTGTTGGTGCTAGAATCATCTTGTGAGACGCTTTGATCTGAGCTCTGATCTAATGTAGATTTAGAAGTATTTCCGTCACAGTCATCTTCTGGCCCATTTTCATCACAGTTCAAGCTAGAACTGCTTGTTACTTTGGATCGTTTGTCTGATTAAAAAAAAACGTACATTAATTTCAAAATTTTTAATAAACATTATTTTACTCTAATATAAAATAACATATATTCTTCCTTTTGTCATTTTAATTTTAAATTTGGTTGTATTTGTGCCAGATAAAAGTTTTTTAAAAAAAAACAGATTTAAATATTTCTTATGTAGTCACCTAAATTCTTGTTCTTGTTTCCTTCAAAAAACCTGTTCTTTCCCTTATTGAATACATTTCCTATGGAGCGGGTGAAAGAATTTTTCTTCTTCACAGAATTTGGAGATTTCTCGTCTTTACTCATCTTTCTTTCTTTACTTTTGGCTTCTTCTGGGTCTGCATTATTAGAGTTTATGAGAACCTCTGAGTCATCACAGCCAGTAAACACAGAGTCCTCATGGGATGGCTTTAAGGCACCACTTTCACTGGGAGGGTTATCAACTGGACAGGCTTCTACACAAATATTGGAACACATTTAATAGTAAATAACATTTATTCTTTTGTTACATTTTTTGTTTATTGCTGTCACAGCAGTTATAGCATAACAGTTAAGTAAATAATTTTCAATAAGTCATGGTAATAATTGTTATTATCAACATTTCTTAAATGCAAATTAATAAACATACATACATGCAAAAAGTTATAAGTGATTAATAAGAAATGCATGTTTTTTTTTTAAAAGTAAGTTAAATTTATTAATGCAAAACTTGCAACAAGAATGCTGAAAAAAAATTACTTTGCATTTAAAAAGCTTTTCTTTCTCTAAAAGTCAACTTTTAGAATAAGATTGTTTAGAAAGTATTATACAACTACCATCAAACATTTGTTCTTTAAATATGTGAGAAAATGTTAATTGAAAAGTGGGTATAACATAAAAAGACAACTAATACAGGGCAATTCATAATGAAGTCCAAGGAAATTCTTGTGCCATATCCATTAAAATAAGGGCAATTCTTGCCTGGAAAAAGATATGCATGCACAATGGAAACTACCGCCTTCATTGGTGGCGTTGTTTTCAATGGTACTGCACATGCCTGTGTTTACAAACAAACCTCAGAACCCCAACCCTAACCCTAGCACAGCTATAGAGGTTACTGCCCATGCGCAGAACTATTGAGTTCCGTATTTTCTGCCAAAACATCTTTTTCCGAGTAGTCACTTCGTTAAAATTAACCTTATCAGGTAAATTTCACAGTTGTGTGATGTGATTAAACAAAACAGTAGTAAAACTAAAGTCTCTGATGTATGTAATTAGTCCTATGTTTGTTCAGACTGACAAGTTTAAATATTTTTCAGAACTTTTAGTTTTAGCAAAGACTGACCATAGAATTTCAAGAAAATGTAATAAACTGCAGAGTTTCAGGTAAAAAAAAGATATTCTAAATTATTATTTTTCCTGAAAGTAATTCATCATCACAATTTGCCCACTGCTCCAGAATTAATTACAGTAATAAAAACAACACATGAATCAAACACCGAAGCTGATAACCAAAAACTGAAAATAATTCTTTTCTAAAAACACATCGAATCCAATTTTCTTTAACAGTTAGTAAACAAACAGCTGACAGTTAACTAAAACCAAAATGATAAAAATAAGTTTTAGAGTGGATGGGTTGAGGTGACACTGAAGTGGTGATTCAATAGGTGATAAAAATAAAAAGGGTGGGGTTAAGACAGAAGTCAACGTACTACAGCATGACAACACAAGCAGAGCAATCAAGATATTTATTTAAAAAACATAAATGACATCAGGGGCTCACAAAAATCTGGGTTCATAAAAGAAGGGTAATAAGCAGGCTAAAAACTTCAAATATCAACAATCTATTTTACTAATGTTACGATTCTGATGTAAACGTATAAGGTTTGAAAAAAAATGTAGCATTTAAAATCATTTTTAAATGGCAATCCTAAATTATCATTTAGAAACATTTAGAAAATATCAACTAAAGGAACAAAGTCTAGTAATAAAATCTTTCTAAACGTTTGATGCCACTGTACAACGACTGAAAAACAAAATGCATTAATGCACAAATACAGCAAGCAAGACTTACATATTACATGGTTTGTCAACTCATCCTGTAAGAAAGAATCCTATGTAATTATTTTATAAACCACTTTTTGTCTCATTAAAAAAAAAACATCCCTTTCTTTTAATAAACAAGCAATGGAATAAACAAATCTGTCTCATTTCAAAAGACAGATCTATGTGCCAATAAAATATTTAACAATTTAATTTTTTTTAAAAGATCTGAGCTAATATACACACAAAATACACTCTAATTAAGATTGCATCACTAACTGTTTCTAAAAAAATAAGAAGGAAGATGAATCTACCACAACTAACCCACTTAAAAATCAAGTGCTTTTGTTAGAAAACAATTCTTCCTTTAGACCAATTGAGACAAAGGAAGCCAATCATCCATCTATTCAGACAGACAAGAAATATTTGAAGCAACAAGCTTAAGACATCTCCCCACAAGATCTTGATACGTTGTATTGTTAAATTCACACTGATTCGATCAGGCTACATTGCACACTGAGTCAATTAAGGATATAGCCAATATTGAAAAGGAAATCCATAAGTAGTGGAAATTTTTCACAGCGTAGTTAGTTTGTGTACTAAAGAATAAGCCTCTTTTTATATTTTCAGAGTAAAGAAAAGAAGATTAGAAACAAACTATCTTTAATAATAAATTACATATCTAAAAAGAGAGCATGCTATAAGGAACTTGTCATGGGCCTTAAAAATACCTAACAAGTTGTGATTTAAACCCTTATTTTACAAGCTCTTATTTTAGCCACGTGTTTGTGATCTTGTGACTAAATTTTTACCCCTTTACAATTGAACAAATTCTTTCAAACTTTGTAATTAGCTATATGAAATAAATTTAAAGATTATTATATTAAAAAAGGGAGATAACAAGTAGCAATCTTTAGTGACATAGGCCTAAGAACCATTGGTTTGGAATGAACTATATATATATATATATATATATATATATATATATATATATATATATATATATATATATATATATATATATATATATATATATATATATATATATATATATATACATACACTTAAATACGATGCTAGCTGTTTTTAAACCTTTTACTGTATCTAAATATTAAAAGAAAAAAAACAAGCTTTAAAGAGCACTAAAAATAAGAAAATAAATGCTCTATAACTACAATAGTAAAAGCATTGGTCGTTTTAGAGATTTATTCAATACAACTTTGTGACCATTGCTTTTAGAATTAAAAATAACAACTTCTTATACTAAAGGTGTTGGTATACAGTCCACCAGTTTTATTAAGATTACAGTTAACTCATCCAGAGAGTACACTCAATATTTTGTTCATAATGAATACATAAATATTTAAATATAAGAAGAAGAAAACAACATCACTTACCATCATCATTTGTTTCAATTGTTATATCACTCTCCGGATTTGTCACAGACATTCTTCAGCCTTTTCTTGTATCCAAGAATAAATCTGCAAAAATCAGAAAATTATAGAAGAAACTCATTATCATTATTTGATATATAAATATGAAACCACTTTTTTATATAATTATTACATTTCTATTTCAGTTCAAAGCTTTTTTTTTAACTTCTATTCACTACTAAAAACTGCTGTTTGCAAAATATTTTAACAATCCATGTTTGTTTTCAACAATGAAACAAAATTTAAGAAATGAAAACTAAAGTATGCAAAACTTGGACTCAGAAAATCAATAATACACAACACAACTACTAAAATATAGGTCATTGAACAGACACATGTAACCTCAGAGGGTGCAATCAATTAATAGATTAGCCATCACACAGTCTCTGCCAAGTGATATATTGCACATTTTTTTGTCACACATTACTTAGCAGACAGCCTAACCACTGGTGTGTGACCACAAGACACTTCAAGGGTGAAAAAAAGCAGCACAGCGTGTAAAGCTTTACAGAAACCAAACACAGAAATAATTAAGAACTTGATCTGTGTATATGCAGGAAAAAAGACTGTTACGCCCAGCCTAACACTATATGAAAGCCTAGACAATTACTGCAACAGTTGGTTTTTTTAAGCTTGTGTTTTATTTACGTATATTTTATATATGTATATGTGAATATTATGTTACTATTGTCTATACAGAATGACAAATTAATATTTGCTTATATTGTTCTTTGTATTGGGGACAACATGGTCGGGTGGGGGAGTTCATGGTTGCTAACTTGTAAGTCCAGAGTTTTAGCCCCCTGTGAGTCAAGGCTTGCTAGTGAGGGGAAAAGACCCAAACAGGTGTAGAGCCCCTTACTCAATAGGATTATCAATCTGCTTTCCTTTTGGTAGTTTTGCAACAGAAGCTGTTACCAAATGCATTGATTCACATATCTTTGAAGCTTTTTTTAAATCAGGAAAAAAAACTTTGTAACTTATTTTAGTAACTAGTGCAATTTTCTACTTCTAACTTCTATATGAAAAAAACTAAGAGCCTAAATAAAAGTATAATAGTATTTTATCTAAACTAGATCTAAGTTTTAAAATGAAGTTTTTAGAGAGGGATTATGTATTACTTTTTGTCATCCCATTTATTAAAAGTAGTCAATTTCCGTATTGTGCATTGATATTATAACTAAATAAAAGTGCCAACACCTAACACTAACTCTGGTATGATACAACTAGCTTACTCGGAAATTGAAAAAAAATCTGAATAGCTATCATCCATAGACTTTTAAGTGAGCCAACTAAAAGAAAATGAGTTTTTTATGGAGGTAGAATAAATGCCCTACGGATATTTGCAGTAGCTAAACTTTAAAAGCTGAAGTTTATATTCAATTCTATAATCAAACTGGCAAAACGGGTACAAGGGCATTTATAATGCCTCTTTTCCATGCTTCAAATAGCTTTTTATTAAACCTAGTTCAAGGTTGTAATTGAGTGGTAGTAAACTTTAAAAAATATAAATAGGCCATGGATTGCTAAAAGTAAGCATTGCACAAAAAAAAAATGGGAGTGATCTACCTTAAACTTTCTCATATATTCTTAGATAACAGTAAGGGGGACAGCACTCCCAGTGCTTTAGAAATCTTTTTTATTAAGTTTTTTTAACACTTATTTTCTAAAAATAGAATTGAACCAACAAAGAAAAAAAAGATACAGCGCACCAATTGTACGCAAACAGTGTGTGTATAATAGTACTTTAGTGTATAAAAGTACTTTATAAAGGTAACACTGGTTACTTTTTTTGACAAATTAGAAATAGTGTAAAGTATTACTATTTCTGGTCACCAGAAATCATTTAAAATGCGACTTAGTTTGATGAATTATTACCTTTTAAAAAATTAAAGTTTCCTTTATAAAGTAATATTTTTTTCAGCTCAATTATGCACAAAATGTTTATGTTCAATTTGTGCACTCTTTTTTCTACTTGATTCTATTATATTTTAAAAAGTATTTTAAATAAAAAAGTATTAAATAAAACATTTCTATATCCTGATTGCACTTATAGGGTTATATAAGAATGTATGACAACATTTAAGGGAGATCACTCCTACTTTATTTACACAGTAAGAAAAAATCATACTAAATATACATAATGAGTTTCAGTTAAGCTTCTACAGCACCACACCCAAGACAGTGACCTGGTGCAAAATGTGGTAAATACTATACATTACATCATTACAATAATATCAGAATCATCTCTAGTCTAAACCTGTCAGTACAGCTGAGTACTGTATTATTATAGTACTATAATCAATCTACACGGAAACAGGTGAACTCTACTTCATCAGTCCCATGGACGCCAAGGTTCAAAAGGGTAACATTAAGTTTTAACATTAAAATAGTTTTTTAAACAGCAATTTCTTTATTGAAAATTTACTGAGCTCAGTCAATAGTTAGTGTATTGATCAATTTTCATACAGTTTACAAAGAGTCTTAGAATACACCATTAAAATTCAGTTTCTACATTAATTAATTATAAATTTTAAAATTGAATATAAGCTTAAGTTCAGAGTTTGTGGTGTTTTTTGGTTTCCTGGGCAAGTGGTCACCATTAAACTTATGACAGCGTGGCAAGCTCTAGAGCGCCAGACTAGACCGCTAACCTAAAAGTCTTGAGTTCGAATCCAAGTTCAAGTCAATGGAACTTCCCTGAGTCCACCCAGCTCTGATGGATTTCAAACTTACGTTAGGGAAAGTAAAGGTGGCTGGGCATAGTGCTGATCACATTTTCCCGTCATAAGCAGAGGTCAAGAAACATGAACTCTACTTCATCTTGCCCAATGGTTTGCCAGTCTAAAGAGGAATCTCTTTTCTCTCTACATAAATCTATTATATTTTAACAAGCAAAAGTGTGTCCTTACACTTTCTGAACCCCTACCCCTCATCAAAACATTACCCCCCCCCCCCCCCCCCCCCCCAAATAGGTGTGTGACATTGTTTAGACACGACCCCTTAATTGACCTATTTCTAGTCAGTAGTAGTATTGTGTAGTGCAGGGGTCTCCAAACTTTTCAGTCCGTGGGCCGCATTAACTATCAAATCCGGCCCGCGGGCCGTAGTTTGGAGACCCCTGGTGTAGTGTAATCACTGTAGTCAAAAAATCAGTCTATAACTATGTATAGTAGGCCTATATAGTACTATATAGTAAAGGCCTATCTATCTACTGGTTGGCCTACTATGTCACTTAGAGTAACTTTAGTTTAAGTACATTATTACTAGACTAATTAACTAGTACTACATTATTATGGTTACAACAGATTAGGCCTACACTGTATTGGTAATAAATTATAATTTTATATATCTATATCTACCTTTACAATCATTATCTCCTACCTAGATTCTAGATCTATCTAAAATCTAGTATATAGTCTAAAATGCTAGATTTAGTAGTAAGATCTAAAATCTATCACCGTATCTTGTGATCTGAGATTTCAGTAATCTGGATTATTCTAGACGAGCCAACCGGGGGCGTATCATATGCTGCTATTTAGTTGTTTTCTACTTTTCAGTAATTCATAATTTGTGAATTCGACAGTACCAAAGCTGCCACTGAAAATATTTGCTTTAAAACACTATCAGTAGGTCGTTCCCCTTCCTTTCCTCTGACCCCTACACTCCCTCCCCCCCTCAGTGAAAGCAGCCTCCTCTTAGTTACCTCCCTTAAGTTTAAAATCGTTTCAAACTAAATTATCTGCCCTTAATAGACGTCACTAAACTCAGCTCTACGATTGTAAACATTTAGCATGAACCACAGCTCACCAGACCATGTGGGGGTGGTAGGGATATGCCTAGAGAGGAAAAGAGGGGGCTGTTAGGTGCGCTTACAGCTTGGTGTTTTCTATGGTCTCCACGAAGAGAATTATATATATATATAGATTAGCTTTAGGCCTACTAAACTAATCTAATAGTAATATAATACTACTAGGCCTACTAAAATAGATCGGTAGATGTTGATCTATTTATAATCTAGATCCTATTATCTCTAGATTAGTGCCTAGCAGATTAAGTGTATGGACTTTTTTTATTCAGTGGTCATGTTTAAAATGAAAATTGAGTCAATAGTGACTCAATAGGCCTAGATCTAAAGTCTATATACTATATACTATATAAGAAATCTATAGGCCTATGTTATTAATAAGTTATTATGTACTACTAGAATCTATGTTTTAAATTTGTAAATCAATGTTACACTAAATTACACTTATGACTTATGTCTAATAGTACTTACACTAAAAAAAAACTAGGCCTATGTAAATGTAATATAAAATTTAGTTAGCCTAGTACTGCTAGACCTAAGTAGTGAAGTAGGCTTGTTTGATTCCTAGACCTTATCTTAATCTATCTATATTTTATAGATTCTAGATGTATCTAGAATAAAACTAGATCTAGGCCTTATTATTAATACATAGTACATTGGGGGGGGGGGGGCAACATATATATTGAAACAATAACAAAAAGTCAAAATACAATACAAAAATCTAAAAATTTAGATAGCCTAATCTAACTAAACTTACTAACTTACTAGATTCTAGATCTAAATCTAGCTCTAGATCTAGATTCTAGAATCTAGATCTAGAATAGATCTAATCTAGAACTAAATCTAAAGTTTTTGTAGGCCTACCTTTTTTATTATTTAATTATTTAGGCCTAATTTTCTTGTAAATTTTTTTAAAAAATGCTACCTAAATAATTAAACACTAGATCTAGATTTTAGATCTAGTTAGATCTAAATGCATTGCAAAAAATATTAGATCTAGATCTAGTATTGTCTAGTAATATTTATTACTAGAATCTAGTCTAGATCTAGAATCTAAATCTAGGCCTAAGTCTCGAACCTCAACCCTTAAATCAGTCACTTCCTGTCTTATTAAAAGGTATTTTATAATTGGTCGTTATTTCAAGAAATTTTAGGGGTTTTCCGTCTATTTATAACAAGCCGAGTTTTTTTAAAACAATATATAAAGAATATTCAACGAAAATTTAGAAAAATATCTCCATTTTTCTATTTATATTTTTTGTAATTTATCTTTGATGGTATAAGTAAATAAAAAAAAAATGTTAGGCAGATTTTAAAGATAAATAATAATAAATACTTAATTTAATTTTTAAAAAATTTCGTGAAAGGTTTGTTCCACAAAAAAGCTAGGACTTTTTTATTTTGAGGTGAAAGGTAAGCTAGCCTTAGCCTATCATTACATTACATTTACAACATAAACAAAAACATGGATTAGGGGTTAGGCTTATCCTAGGTCAGGCAGGCTTGTGTACTATTGTGTAGTAGACTGTAGACATTGTTCCATCGCCCTTGCCGCACTCCCACGCGTAGCTTAGTAAAATAGCCTGTGGCTAAATCTAGAAAGTGTAGTTAGTCGCACCAGAGTGCATTATTGAATTATTTAATATAGAATTAATATAGATCTAGATCTAGAATCTAGATCTAGACTTTTTAGTTATTTTAGTTCATTAGTTGTTTGTTTACACTTTACACCAGTTTAATATTTATTGGTAATCTATCGTTTTAGGTACGTAAAATCGCCCGCAACTAGTAATGTGAAAAACAGGTGACTCCTTACATTTTAATAATTTTTTCACATTTTGAGGAGGATTTATGTTTTGAAAAATACAAAAATGTTTCCTTGTTTCATTTATGTACCTGTTTTTAAACAATTGAATTAAAACTTTTCAGTCATAAATGAACACCAGCGATGTTTCCAACAGATGCAACCATGCTCATTTACTATAGCAGCCATCTTGTTAAAGTTTTATTTTTATAGACTTATAGCGCAAGATTCAGGCGGAAGTCACTCTATTTTACAAATGGCTGCTGTTTATATAGTATATAGCAAATCTTGCTTGCAGACGCTGCTGTTTAAAGTTAATTTCTGGCCTATATTGATATATTTAGCCATTGATTTAGGTTTATTATTCATTTATCTATAATATTTGACACAAACATATCACAATATACTTATATTACAGCCTTGATAATGAGGTAACGTTTTCGTACATTAATAGCCGCGGGCGATTTTACGTATCCAAAACGATAGATTACCTATTTATTTATTATTTAATAATAATATAGGCCTAATATTTATTAATTTATTATTATTTTAGTAATATTTATTTATTTACTTAGGCACCTACTTTAGATTTTAGAAGAGAGTGACTAACTTCAGACTTGTGGACTTGTAGGTTACTTACTTAGATCTAGAAATATAGTAGATCTAGATTTCTAGATCTAGTTATTATCAAGCCAGACTGCTTTACTAAACTAAAACTTTCTTTGAAAGTAAATCTAATACTTTTTAGAAATAGACTAGCCTGCAAAAGACAGCGTTCAGCGTAAGTATATTTTCATTTCATGCTAGTCTATATCTTAAAAGTAAAAGCAATAGCGAATAGGCCTAGGCCTAATAATTTAAATTATAATTTTCAATAGGCATCAGTTTAGTTATTAGCTCACATCTCTGTTCAACAGTGAATTAATAAATATCTCATGTGAAATAGCATGTCCTTAATAATTAGTTAGTAAGATTATAAATCTATTAGGCCTTTTTTGACTTTACCATAATAGAATAGTCTAGATTCTAGGTATTTATTTATTTAATTATCTATAGGGCCTAGGTCTAGTAATTAGTGAGTATTACTGTGTTATTATTTATTGAAGTACCTGCGATCTCAGAAAATTCAAGGACACTTGTTTAAAAAATCATTATCGATAGGCCTAGTGTATTTTTAGACACATGACCTTGTTTTCTTTCCACACCTATGATTCGCTCTTGCTATTGTAATAACAGATACATGTTGTATCAGAAAAAGAAAGGCCTTGAGCGTACGTTGGTAACCCTCCACATGGGCAACCGTCCAAGTGTCATTGAGCCATCACAGGAGTCCCGGGTGCTACCCTATTTCAGTTTAGATAATTGTAGTAGCCGACTGTATCCCTCATGTAGGGCACCTTTAAAACAAATGTAGATGCCATAAAGCTCTTAAGGGATCCCAGGATGCTCTTGGTCACACGAACACCCATGGTGCCGTAAGACTGTTGCGTCAAGTAGTACCCCCTGCCCGGGACGTTAAATTAACGCAATCCACAACTACTAAGGTAGCCACCGTGGAAATTAGGACACCTCTTCATACTATGCCCGAACCCAGCTTCTACTGTATTTACTGTATATGGTTGTGTCAGAGACATATGTGCCAGAATGTAGGATTGTGTAATTAACAAAGGGGTATAACTCAATCAATATTTTTACAAAAACATCTAAGCTTGGTTATATCCCTTGATTTTTTATTTTATGGTATATGGCAGGGGTCTCCAAATTGCGGCCCGCGAAGTCCTCTCATCTGGCCCGCGGAGATCTTTTTTGTCCAAGGAAAAATCGTTTGTTGGTGATGGCTGAGGAAGTTTGCCCAGAAAAATCAAAGACATGCCTGGAAGAAACTGGCCCCCGAACTGAAATTTGATAGTTAATGCGGCCCTCGGACTGAAAAGTTTGGAGACCCCTGGTATATGGGGATTGTTTAGCCCCTAGGTGGAAAAGATAACATGGCGGAAACCCTATCGGGAGTGTACTCAACAACCTCCCCAAGTTTCTTGGTGATCATATATTCGCCGTCAAATATGATTTTAACTCAAAGAGGAAACCAGACATTATCAAACTTCTGTTCAGCAGAATTTTGATATTATCAAACTTCTGTTCTGTCTCCTATTGGTTTTGATTTATTTAGTACTTATTTATTTAGTATTTAGATATTGGGTAATACAAGAAGAAAAAAGAACTGTCAAATTCAGAAGAAAAACAACATTAAATGTATAAAGTTTAATATAGGTAATAATAGTAAATATGCCCCATAATTAATTCCTGGACTGTGGCTTTACGCACCAAGGTGACTAGAGGTCTGTTGCTATAGACTCAGGTCCAAATAGCCACTTTGATAAATAAAATTAGTCTTATTATATAAATTACTAAAATTAGTTTAAATAATAAATAAGATACAGTATAGCTTACTTTAATTCATTGTCATGATCATAATTTTGTATTTATAAATCAATTTCAGATCCAGGCCGCAAAAGCACTTGCAAGGCTCATGAGTCATTAAAGTAAAGTGTTGTTGTATCACTGGATAGGCCTTGCTGCTTTAAAATAACTAATCATTTTGACATGCCAGCTCTTGTAAAAAGAATGCAATCAGCCTTGCTCTTTGTATGGCGCCTTTTTACCATTGTTTTCAATGACATTGTAAATTGGTTTGCGTCTGGCAGTATAAAAACAGTAGACAATGAGATCATCCTTATTACTGGAGGAGGGCGTGGAATAGGGAGAAAGATTGCACTTGGTTTTGCCAGACTTCACCCTAAACATGTATGTAATTTTTTTGTAAGTAAAGTAAAAATAAAATACCCTTTTTGAACTTTATGATCCATACGGCAGGTAAAAGTTCACCTGTTTCAATGACCTTGGCATATGAAGGGATTATGTGGTCAACACTATGACCAACCACATGTACTTTCCCTAATAATAGTCAGGTACCCATCAGAATTGGTGGAGTTATGGATGTAATACTGACTTGAGACCGGATTATGAACTTGAGACTTTTGAGTTTGCAGTCTAACGTTCTACAATTCAACCACACCATTCCAATCCTGAAACATGTACTTTGAATAATATTTCATATGCGTAATTGATAGGCAAATGACACTGAGCAGGTGTGAACTTGTTTTCTCTCCCCTTTAGGTTTTATATTCAATCGAATCATGCATGCAACCTCTTAATGCTGTCATCATTACTGTTGCACTCTCCACATATCAACTGTGGTCACTCACTGTTTAACTCTTTTCCATTCCTTTCTTGATTCATTTCTTTAAACACCTACTGTTTCTGTTTGGAGTCTGCTCCGCACTGATTATTTACAAATAGGGCCAGACTCTCATTATAAAAATAATAAAACACTACATAGAAAATAGTGTACTCCTGGCAAAAATAAATCATAAACTTCTTTTACATTTGGTCAGTTAGTACTTACTTAAGTTTATGGGGTTCAGAACATTACCAATGTTGTAAAAATGTCTAGAAATATATTAGAAAAAAAAGCTTTTTTTTTTTTTTACAGATTATAATATGTGGCCGTACGCAATCATCACTGTTACAAACTGCTAAAGAAGTACAAGAACAAGGTGTGAACTGTGCTTACATGGTTTGTGATGTTAGTTCCAGAGAACAAATTTATTCTATGGTATGTTTTCTATGTCAAATTTCTAATTTTAATTTATACTTAGTAATTAATCATTAGCTTTACAGTTACAGCTTGAAATAATAATTCTTAATATTATTGCTTTTCTGATAATGCTAAAGTACTGTACTAGTGTTGATTCTTATTTTTTCGAAAAGGCAAAAGAGGTGGAGGCAAAGTTCGGGCAGGTTACGATGCTTATAAATAATGCTGGTGTTGTACACGCGAACTCTATCATCAATAGTGACCCTGCACAAACAGAAGCTACATTCCGCACTAATACTCTGGCACATTTATGGGTAATTATTTAAACTAATTAATTAAGAACATTACAAATTTTCAATTCAATAATTGATAACACTGACAGTTTGAAAAGTGATCAATACTTAGAGCTACTCTAAAAGAGCTGTATTAGGTTTTTTAATTCCGTATTTATCCTTGGTTCTGAATTAGATTACACAACTGGTTGACAAAAGATCTAATATAAATTAATTAAATATATTTTATCCAGGCTTGCAATTTTTTGAATCATTGCTTAAATTGTCTATGCAAAGAATTATTATCAACTAACGATAATTAATTGTACTTCAGACTACTAGAGCCTTCTTGCCTGGCATGGTTAAACAGAATAAAGGCCATATTGTTACCATAAGTTCCATGTTGGGATTATCAGCTTTAAATGGAGCAGCTGATTATTGCAGTTCCAAGTTTGCTTCGTCAGGATTTACAGGTTTCTGATCTGCTATTTAGTTGTTTTTTATTCTAAATATTTAAAAAATACGAGCCGACCCGCTGCGTATCATACGCCGCTATTTAGTTGTTTTTTTTTTCTACTTTTCAGTAATTTATAATTTGTGAATTGGACAGTACCAATGCTGCCACTGAAAATATTTGCTTAAAAACACTAAACCCCCCTCCCCCCCACGTGAAAGCAGCCTCCTCTTAGTTACCTCCTCTATGTTTTTAATCGTTTCAAACTAAATTATCTGCCCCTAATAGCCGTCACCGAACCCGTCTCTATGATTGTAAAATGTAAACAGCGTGACCACAGCTCACCAGACAATGTGGGGGTGGGGTGGGGGTGGTAGTGATAGTGATAGAGAGAAAGAGAGGGGACTGCAAGGAGGCGCTTGCAGCTTGTTTTCTAACGGCTCCCAGAAGAGAATTATATATATAGATGTTTTGTTTTTTTAGTACACTAACAGTCAGTAACGTATTTATATTGTATATATTTATAACTAATAATGGTTGTTAATCTTAGAGAAATTTCAACGAGAGACAAATAATTTCTTTTAAAATTGTCTCAATAAATAAGTTTAAAAATATTATTTTAATATATAAAGAAGTTTAAATTTCAAGTATGTATTCAAAAGTGAAAATGATGGAAAAGTATTTAACAAGTGCTAGATAGAAGATGTTAATGAACCATTAGTTGGTAATAATAATATTGTATTGTGGAAACATTTGATAAAACATTTTCTGCTTGCAGTTGCTTTTGTTACAAATATGTAACACATTTTTAAAAATTAAATGCATTGTAATTTTTAAACATTTTTAATCTCATCTGTGTCTGAGTAATTATTTCCCATTTTTCAGGAAATGCATAGATCTTGTATAAAATTTGCATTTATCTATTCTGTGTGTCAAACTTATTAAAACCTGACTGATATTTCATCTTGAACAGAAGCTCTTCGTGATGAACTAGTCAGCTCTGGGCACTTGGGCATCAAGGTCACTATCATATACCCGTATCACGTCGATAATGAGATGTTTGCTGGTATCACTACAAGGTGAGTTTTGGTATCACCACGAGTACTGGACTACTAACCTGTATGTCTCAAATCCAGGTTAAATTGAGTAGAACATCCCAGAGTCCACCCAGCTCTGATGGGTACCTAACTTTTGTTAGGGAAAGTACAGGCTGGGCATAGTGCTGACCACATTATTCCATCATATGCTGAGGTCACAAAAACAGGTAACTCAGTTTCACTTGCCCTATGGACCATAAGGTTTGGAAAAGGGAACTTTTTTTTTTACTCCTCGTATCCAGAGCTTATCTTCTTTTTAAATGTGTACTAATTAGTCATAGTGATGATGTTTAGTACAAACAAGGAATGATTATACTAATAAGTTGTAAGATCTGGGTTTTTTTTCTAGTGTAAAAAAACATTTTATCTGGTTTTTCCATTCAACAGGTTTCCTTCTTTATTCTCTCCCATAAATGAGGATTATCTTGCTCAAAAAATCATAACTGCAATATTGACTAACAGAGAGAAAGTTATTGTACCAAAACTAATGTATTTGGTTGCACTGTTTTATAGGTAAGGCTTTTACTTTAAAAAATGCTCAGTTGATACTACTTTTTCAACCGATTTCATTAATCTTTAAAATAAATTTATCCAAAGTAAATTGTACCTGCTTTTGTTTGATTAGTAAACAAATTATGTTAAATTTAGGGTTGCAAACTCTAAAGTAAACACCCATCTAATAGTAACCCCCCCCCCCCCTCCACACACCACCCCACACACAATGATTTTCTCAGCACCATTGTTAACACTACATTCAAATTCTGTTTCATCTTTTACTCTTCAGCATTTCACCAGTGTCAGCAGTTACACCTATAATGAAATTTACTGGCGTTCACAAGGCTATGGACCAGTTCCATGAGAATCATCACAAACCATGATCTTTTAATTAACTAATTTACCTTTTTATAATGTAGCAACTTATTCCACACTGGTCCACATTTTTCTTAATATTTATCAGAAAACCTTTTTTTTTCAATTTATGAGCTCTAAACATTTTAAACATTTTTAAGCAAAACGAAAGTTGGTTGATAATTTTATTTGAAATTTTAAACTTTTCTGGTTGTAATTAAAGTCACACATAAAGTAGAATTCATGAGCCTAAACATAACAGCCCATATTATGCATTTTGTGTGCAGCAGTGATAAATAAAAATAGATACAAAAGATTGTATGTATATAAACATACATGATTTCAAACTGCCTAGTTTATTTACTGACTGTTTTTAATTGTATTTCAAGAGTCATCTTGGGTGATCTTTTAATAAGAATTTTTGAAATTTCACAACATGCTGTTTATTTTATAAGGTTCAGATATTAAAAACTAAAATTTTAATAGGATTTTTTTCTAGTTCAAATTGTGCCAATTACAATACATCAAATTTATCTTGCCTGAGCTTTCAATTCACTATTTTTAAATTAAAGTTTATGTAATGTTGGATACTTCTATTTTATTTTAAATTATTTTTATAAACTGAAATATTATATTTAATAATTTACTGCTGTTGTTCTGTATTGTTCTTATACATAATGAGTAATGCAACTTCTTTATGCAAGAAAAAGCTAATTATTTTAGAAAACTTGTGCCAAGTTTATTTATAACGCAATTAAAATGTGTTTCTGTGTAATAATGATACATTTTACAATGTACATGCAAAAAAAAAATTTGGTTATTTAAGTAATGGAATGAGAAACTGAAGATGTTAATTTGGTGAATTGAAAACAACATACATGAGTCATGAGAAAATCTTTCTGTAATGTTGACTTACTGGTAATATGAAAGTCAAAAGATGACTTGATGATTTCCATTGCTGACTACTCACCTATAAATGACTGAGTAAAATGGCTTAATGTACCTTTACTTTTAAAACTTTCTTTAGTGAAGCTTTCCAATGCAGTCAATACTGCTTTTCATGCAACTTATTTTAATAATTGTTGAAAATATTTTATTGTAAGAATATGTCAAATTTAGTTTGATTAATAATTTGTGCCAATATTTTGCATTTTAGTTGACTTTTTAAAAATCCATACTGTATATTTTAAAAGCAATTTGTAGTTTAAAATTTTAAAAAGTAAAAATTGCCACTGTGTGCTGTTATTTTACTTTTGAAATGCTTAAATCTTCTGTATTTATTTTCAAAACCATTTATATTACTTCTTGAAACAATTTCCTGGCAGCTACCTCATTGTTACATATTGTGTGGCAGCTTTCAAGTCTATCTGTATGCTGCATGTATAGCTGAATGAAAACTTTATTATTATAAGTTCATGAACTCATGTCAACTATACTCAAGAAATAAAGAAACCTTTTCTGACAATGCAATATTGTATCAACTTTTTATCTTTTTACAACTGCTTGTTTGAAAATTAAAGTGGGGAGGAGTTTATATTTATAAAGCTCATTGATTTCATCAACACACAATTTTTTAATTCCAAATACCACTTTCTCCATAAGCCAATTTCTTTCTGAAGAAGAAATCCAGAGATGGGGTTGGATTGGACGCACATAGAGTAAATCATTTAACATCATTGGGTAGAGACCACCCCTTAAGGTAAACAGATAAAACGACATTCCAAAAAATGTTGGTGTTGAGAATCTAAGGCAGACACCATCAAGGTGAATTACATGTAGAGCCATATGGAGACAATGGCACAGGACAGATAAATAGAAGGAGCTTTCTGTGGCAACCCATACTCTGCAGAAGATTTGAGATAATCACTTTAGTAAGTGAATTTAATATAATTGTTAAAGATGCCTGGTTTTGAGGGAACTACCATTGAACTTTAAATGAATTGCAAGACTTTATTTTAAGGAAAAATTTTAATCTCCTCAGAATTCATTTTTTTAAATTTTCTTATACAATATTTAATATAGCAAGGGGGGGGGGGTGTAGAAAAAGTGTAGACTTATGCACTTTAAAAAAGTAATGCTAGAAATTTAGCTGTCATTTTGCCCTTTTAAAGGGCTGTTTTTTGTAAATACTAAAATAGCCATAATGATTTATCTTCAATAACTATTTTAGAAAGAAATTACGTTTTTAAAAAAAAAACTGCAATTTTGTTGGGGGCGGTGTAGGCTGTGGTGTGATGTCATTTTAGGTGGACGTTTTGAGATGATAAAGAGGGGGTAAGGTGGTCAAAATCGTCTTTAGAAGCATGAAGAATGGATTATCCCCAAGTCAACAAATAAAATATATAAGAAAAACTAAACCACCGCCCCATGGACACCCCCTTTCCGCCACCTTTTTAACTGTTTTTTAACAGTGTCCTAAGTTTAAACTGTTAGATTAATGCATGAAAAACTAGATTCTATTGTTTATTCATTGCCCGTTGGGGGCTTAGGCCTACAGATTATTAAAGTTAAAGCAAAGGTACGTAACTAGGCCTAGTCTGCCATTTGCATTGCGAATTCAAGATAAGGCTACTCTAACTTTTAATTTCCTCTTACAAAGAAGAATTAGGCCTAGATCTAGATCTAGTGTTGTTTAGTTTTGAATCTGGGTGTTGATGAAGTTGTTGGATAGGCCTAGCTTGCGCTGACCTATCCGTCTTCTTAGTGTTGTAGATCTATTATTTGCTATTTGTATTACTCGATATTTGATGTGTCTAGATCTAGAAAATCTAGATGTTTAGGTTTAGATCGAAAAGATCTAGAATAGAACTATCTTTTTAAAAACTTTGGTAAGACAATCATTGACAATGTAGTTAGTCTCATACAAATTCAATTTTCTTCAAATTATAAAAAGAATAGCATATAATTGTAGAGCTTTAAAAATGCAATCCAACAGTACCAATTTTATTAATTTAGCATAATCGGTTGATTAAATATAATTTTTTTAGTGTCGCAAATAAAATATATAGAAACGCGACCAAAAACGCAGGTAAAAAGTCAAATTCACTTGTTTTAAAGCTAGTAAGCAAGAAAAGACATGATTCTTTCTTACTATTGAAATCAGTTTGCTTATACCTACATTTTTTTACACCAAGGTGAAAGTAAATAGTTTATATAAATTTATAAAATGCCATTTATATAATTTATTGTATGTTTTGTGATGAATTTTCAATTGGAAAATACCGCATTTGGAAGCAGAAAGGTAAATTCTACAGAACAGATGTTGTTTGGAATGTTATAGATCTATATCAAAATGTTTGTTTAATAAAATTCAATTAGAGTCCACCCATTTCTGATGGGTACCTGATATACATTGGGGAAATTAAAGGTAAAAAGTAAAGGCGGCTGTGAATATCGCTGACCACACGGACAATCACTTCATATGCCGAGGTCAAGAAACATGAACTCTACTTCATCTGCCAAATAGATTGCTTTGTCTACAGAGGAATCTTAATTAATGTTTACAGGGGCCTAATAAAATTGAGTTATGTTTGTAAAAACATTAGGCCTAAGCTTTAAAAACTTATTTTGGTCAATATCGGAAAAAATAAAAATCTTTTCAACTAAATGGGTTGAAAAAAGCTTTGAATTTGTTTCATTGTTTGTTATTATATCTTGTAGTATTTAGAATTGAAGCTTTCTTTCTTAATTACAAGTTGTATTAATTTCAAACCTTAATGTAATTTCTTTTTAATTCAGTACCTGAGTATTAGCCTAAATGTAAGGTAGGCTACAGAATTCAGATATTACCTATGGTTTTGTGGTTTTATATGTTTATAACATTTGTATTTATGTAATGACCTGATGAAGTTATCAAGCAAACTGTTTTATTATTATTTTAATAGGCCTGCAAGTTATAAGTACAAAATATAGATATCTAATCACTAGATCTAGGTCTAAGTTTAAGAAAAAACTACCAAAAGGGTTTGAAATACTTAAATATAGTACTAAAAGTAGCTATGTTTTGAAAAAAAAATATCTTAAACTGGAGACATTCAATTTAAAAGTCATTATAAAAACTCCACGATCTAGATTTATTTCTAGATCTCTAGTAGGAATACAGATTTAGAGGCTTTCCCATCAGTATCAATGTACTATCTTAGCTATGTGGGAGGTCAGTACGAGTTCACTGGGAAAAAAATCGGATCTGCCGTAGGGGGGGTGGGTTTAGTGCGCAAATGCTCCTGACCGATTGCCAAAAGGTACAGAAATTCTAAAGATACATTTTAAAAGAAAAATGGATGGCTGAACTGCAGTTATCAAAATATCTGTGTAAGTAGAAGTATAAATAATAATATTTTACACAAATATAGCTGTCTTTTGCTAAATCTAGCTCAATTTCCACGAAAATCGCATCCGGTCGCAATAATTTTTATATCAGCTTGTCGGCCATTCAACGATCTATCACGTGTAGCAGACGCCAAACAGATTTACCCGTATGGTATTGCGCGAATGCTATTTTTAGCAACAGTGCCGAGACGCGATCGAAAAAAACGAACTAGAAAGTGGCCATAAAAAAGCGGGTCAGGGGAGGTAATTCAACTCGCGTTATGAGACTAGCTAGACAATGTATGTAAATTATTTAGCGTAAATTAATAATTATTATTACTACTAAATACTACTATTGTAAATAAATGTTGTTTGCAATGTATTATAATAGTATTAATTTATGTTTTAATTGTATGAAAATGCATAGGTCAGGGCTTGGGCCTAGCAACTGATGAGGGGGTACTAGATCTAGAGGTCTAGACCTACTACAAAAAATATTAAAATTATAAATTTAAAACTAGGGCCTAGAATGTAGATTTTTGTCTAGTTAGATCTACTAGATCTATAAATTATATATAGATCTATGGTATATAGGCCTATTGATCTAGGCTAGGGACTTGGATGAAATTTCAATTTTAAAAAAAAATAAAAAATGTAGTAGCACCAGTTTATAGAGCTCATTTAGACAAGAACAAAGATACTTTTATTTTAATTTTAGCTCAAACGATTACGAAGTTATGAATTTTTAACGTATTTAATTTACGAAGTTATGAATTTTTAACGTATTTAATTTTCGGGTTTTTTTTACTAGATTTTCTATGGGGTTTTCTCCATTTTTTGCTTCCCTACTTTTTTGGATGCGAACTAAAATCTCTGTAACTTTTTAAATAGCAGGTATTTTTTAATGAAAATTCACTAAGATCAAGCTTATGATATCAGTAAAAGAGTAAGATAAAAATAATTGAAGTAGATGAGAATGATCATAAAAGATATTGTTAACAAAGAGGGTCACCCCCCTAAAATTTTTGATAAACAGTGGGGTCCAGTCAGTAAAGCTCATGATTGCTAAACTGAAAAGTCTCGAGTTTGAACTCCCGGGCAGACGAGGGTCGATAGCTGGGGACAGCAGCTCTGCTAGGAGAGACAACTCTCAAATCTAACAACTGCTGCCCTGTAGTTTGCTCTTGGTTGGACAAAGGCTATGGAAGCAAATCCAAAAAGAAAAGCAGGCTAAAATTGTAGTCAACAGCCTATATGACACATAACAAATTGACACATAATACTTAATTGTGTTGGAGGGAATCCCTTCCAACATTTAAAATTAAGAATGAATAAAAAGAAGTAATCAACAGTGTGTGGTAATGTCCTACTGAGGTTTTTAGGTTGGGATAATTAACAAAGGAGTATGATCCAGCTCTCATCCCATTTTGAGTCAATAAACATTGAAAAAATACAAATTTTTATTTTCTTTTAGAAACACACCATGGGGAATCAACAGTCAATATCAGAGGAAGAGACTGAACCAAAATATAATTATCATGAAAAAGTTTTAAAGGAGGCACAAAATGAATTACTCCTGAACCAGTCTAGTTTAAATCCTGATGATGAGCCTTATTTTAGCGCAGATGAGGGAGACAGTGTGATCAGTTTAACGCCGCCACGCACTCGGCCAGAATCATCTTCTGGTGAGGACTTTTCCGATGCAGAATCTGTTGAAGAGGAAGCAAGTAGTAGTTTGGTCAACAGTAGCCAGATTGAAAGCCATGTGCAGGTTGCTGCTGAAAATTTTAAAAAAAGAAAAGCAAATGACTCTGGAAAACTTGAACCAAAGAAAAAATGTGGCCAGTGCAATGTTAGTTCTTTTCAAGAACATGATAGCATTGGTCCTGAACTTGAAATGGCCAAAAGAAGAGGAGCCTCAATTTTACTGTCACCCAACAGCACACAATTAAGTGAAAGTGTTCTGTCTGGCACTAATGTAGACAATTTGTCTCAAGTACTACTATGTAATGATACTGCTAACACCAGTATTGAGCCTTCACCTTTTAAACCTATTTCACCCAAAGTGGCTGAAATTTCTCATGCGAAACGAAAAGCTCCACAGAATGAAGATGATAACACCACTCCTGTTAAAAAGATGGCCACAAGAGCTAGTTCAAAACGCAATCGTCTGGGTTATTTTGAATCGTCAGAATCAGAAGAAAGTGAAGAAGAGGCTACAAGGTCTGGTAAAAGAAAAAATAAAGCTAAAAATACGAAAGCTAAAAAATCCAGGGGAGAGGATTCACTAAACAGAGCCAGTAAAGATGCAGATTCAAGTGTACATGGTAAAAAAAGACACAAAAGTTGTCATAAATGTAGTGATGAATCCAATACAGATTCCACAGACACAAGTATTGATAACAGAAAAACAAAAAAGATGAAAAAGTGTAGATACAGATCTAGAAGCTGTAAAAAGTCTAACAGAGAACAACAGAGCAGTCCAGATGACATGCACTATGAGGGCAAGAAGAGACACAAGCATGAACCAAGCTCTGACTCTGAAACAGAAACAACTGACGATGACATGACCAGAAAAAGAAAGCATAGCAACAAGGATGACAATGTTAGCAAAAGTAACAATTCACACACCAATATTGTCACACCTAAAGACAACTCCATTACCCACACTTTAAATCCGCAGCATTCAAATCTTCTGACTTGTGAAACTCTTAAGATGGGAGGTAACAGCTTTCGTAATTTACAAGGCAAGGTGTTTCCTATTCGTCAAGGTAATCTCATTAACATTACCAGTGTTTCAAGCAGTGGTAAAAATCTTGCAATGAGCAAGATAAAAGCTAACAACCACGACTTGAAGGTTGGATCTGACAGTTCGGCTTTTGTTTTAACCAGCTCCAAGTCAGTTGGAGCAGGCACAAACCAAACACCATCACAACCAACTCCGTCTGAAGAAATTGTATCCCCATTTCAAAATGTAGTGTTGACTCCCACTAGAGTTCGGGTACCACTGGAAAATGGTTTTAATCCATCCATGGATTCTATAACTGATCACAATTCTGATATGGAAGTGGAGATGACACATACATCAGAACTGCCATCCCCCACCTCTAGAATTTTTTCTAAAGGGAAAAGACGCGCACAAACTACGGCTAAGGTTTTCAAACACTTCTGGGATGAAAAAACAACAAATTTGAAATCATTCATTTCTAAATCAATAACTTCACTAAACAGTATAGGTGACTCCAGTGGCGCATCTTGGGCGGCTAATTCACCCACTTCCCCTGCTGGGGATTCTATTTATAGCCCAGCAAACACTTCAGTTCCATGTGTGAACTCTGCTATGACTTCCTCGCCAAACAGTCACCTTCTCTCAAGTGGGCAGATGGCTCTTTCACAACTTTCACCGATTAATACAGGTAGCTTATTTTTTTCTTCCCCATAAATTTTTATCAGTAACAACAGTAACAAAAGAATTCAGAAATTAAAACCAGACATTTAAAAACAATTTTAGCTATTAACACAATAAATTTAAGGTTTTGAAAAATGTGTATTAAAAAATGTAGAAACCTAATATGTTAATATATATATGGGTTTTATTTTATTTTCAAAATCAGTTATTTCTGTTGATTTGTTGATGTTTTATATCTATTTTTAAAATATGAATTCAGAAATAACTAATTTTATATGTGCTTTGGTTATAGTTGGCCACTCTTACATAGTGTTTCCATTTTTTATATTAAAAATTTATATGTGCACTAACCTGAACAGTGTGTAAAGTAACATGTAATAATTTACCCCCAGTTTCCCTGCAATACCCTGGTGTCAACACATCAACAGTGTCACCTGCAGCAACATGTCAACAACAAGCTCACATACCAACATCAACAGTGCTGCTTCTTCCCCAGGAGAATCCCAATCAAGTAATGCAGCAGTATTTTATTTTTAAATGTTGTGCCTTCTAATTCTGTTAAAAAACATGTAGCTACCTATTATCAATGAATACTTCTCTGTTAAGTGTCAACATTGTATTAAAGTGCATTTTTAGTGGTAGGCCTAAAACTGACCTTGACTTTATTATAAACCTAGCAGTGATAAAGGAAAAAATTGATTATATGATATGCCATGGTTAGGTGTTAAAAGTCTGAAGTTTAGATCTTGGGCTTGTGCCTATAAAATGTCCTTTAGTCTACCCTGTTCTGATTGGAACCTGGTTTGGTCTTGGGAAAAAAGATTACATAGTGCTTACTAGGCAACCCTGTCACATGCCCTTGATTGAGAGACTGATAAACTTGCCTACTCTGTAGACTGTTAGGTCTGCAAGAGTTTTTTATTTTGTTTATTTATGGTACTCTGACAAATATAAAAGTACTGATCTATTTACAAACCAAGTTAATACTAAATTTATATATCAATTTATGATCAATTTATATAAACCAAGTTAATTATACATTTATATACCAATGTATGATCAATTTATATAGCTTACCAATTTCAGCAGAACCATCCATCTTCAAATATTAAAGAAAATATGTACAGTAATGATTCATTTTTTTACAGGCATTGAATGTGCAGTTGTCTGATGCATTAAGGTTGACTATTGCCCTAGGGGACATATCCCAGCAGACAACAGGGGGGATAGTCAACTGGACAGATGGTGGACTGACACATACAGTCACACAGTGTAGCAAGGTGATAGCCGCCAGAGCTGGGGCTCTAATGAGAGCTGCCTGTAATGACTATGTTGAAAATAAAGGTAAGGCATTCGATAATATTGATAAACAAATGAGTGACTCTGGTAAATTTAATGTTACATGATGCATTATTTTAATAAGAGAAAAAAATATTGTGAAAATTTATCATTTTAATGTTATTAGTTATTTGAAATTTTGCAGTTGATCTTGTAATTACTAATCATTAGTTGTGCTAAATCTCTCTCATGTAGTATACTGGTCATGCTGGTATTCAGACAGAGGATGTCATGTTGCATGCTCAAAATCAGTTCTGAACTTGAAGAGAAATAAATGCTATTGTGCCTTCACATAATAGCTTATAGAATTCTGTGTACATAAAACTATAAGCACACTTAAAAATGTAAACAGAAAAGCAGATCAAAGCAAATAAAAAATAAATGGACAATGCTTTTTAAAATGATATAACCAACCAGGTATATCTTGTTTTCCCACTAAGTTAAGACAGTGCCCCCTTCATTTATCAGGATAGCACTTTTATCCTTGAATGTACCCCTTTTTTTAGACTGGTTACAAACTCTCACTCAGAGAGTTGAATCAGTGGAATTATGGGCTTGGACCCTCTCCACTTTACTGCTCTGACTTAAACTATTTCCTTGCTGTAAATAATTATTTCTGGACCTTTGTCTAGTTAAGGAATTAAATTACTCTTTACCTCCAGGTCTGATACATTTTGTTTAAAATCTCCTCGAAACTTGTTACTCTGATTTATCACTGAAGCTACCATGTCTATTGTAATATCCTGTTTTTACCTCTTAAATGCCACTAAATAATAAACAGTTCAGTCGAAAAGGAAAGTTTCTGTGATAGCTTTTTGACTGGTTATGTTTCAGTCAATGTTGTAATGTGCAGTTATGATACTGTGCCCCTCTCATTTCTAAAATATTTCTCTAGCTTTTTCTTGCTAATGTAATACTGTATGTGTTGTTCTTCACATATTTATATGCAACCATCACTAATGCGGAACTTTTAATTTTGGACCCCAGGCAGCAATCTTGAGGCACCAGATGTGCTGACCACTCCCGCAGGGGGAAGATTTGACAAGGCTGTAGAAGCTATCCTCCATGTGGTTGCTGCTCCATGGCTTGAAGGAGATGAGAGTAAAAACATCTCTGGCTTAGTTGAAGTCTACGCTAATTGTTTAAGATTTGCAGATGAAAGATTGGCCTTGGAGAGTGTTTCATTTCCTCTAATTGGAGAAGGTAATTAAATTATCGAATGTCTTGAGTTCAGATATAGGGCTTGAGTCTCCTGAAGGACCTCCCCCAGTCCACCGAGCTCTGATGACCACACTATTCCCTTGTATTCCTGGGTCATTGAAATAGATGAACTGTACTTGTGTGGGGAATTAACCTTCAACAAGGGAGGGGGGGGGGGGGGGCGCCTTTGTTAGGTTAATAAAAAATTAAAAAAAAATAAACAGATTTTTTTTATCCCATCTCAGTAAAAAAATTTTACACTTTTAAAATATTTCAGGAATATTTCCCGTAGACATGTGTATTCAAGCCTTTTTTGACTCAATACTGGTCTTCCTAGCTGAGAACAAATCAACATCACGCAGTATCAACTTGCGCTTGGTTCAGTTGGTAATGACAGAAACTCATATCACAAACTTTGCTGCTGACTTTGTCCAGTCATGTTTGGATCACATCTCTAAAGAGGGTTTGAACAAAGCTTTAGCAACTACATACAGACAGTACACTGGGAACCAAATGTCACCTTTAAACAGTCAGCCAACAGATTCTCCTGAGAGGAACAGCTCTGGCCGTCCCAGAATAAAAAGGCCTAGGTTATGAGAGTTCAATGTGAAAATTTATTTCATGTTTTTGTTTAGAAAAAAAATATTTTGATTGGATTGTTAAATTAAAAAGAATGTTTTATTTAAAATTAAAAGGGCAGCAATTAAGGTAATAATATCGGCCATGTAATAGTATTTTTTAACTAAACTTGTAATGCTTGCAATTGCAGCATTTAATTTCTACTTTATAGATATAGATCTATATTAAGATGGTATCATGAAGATTTTGAATATATTAATCAAAAAATTCCTGTTTCTTTTATCAATTACTAAATTTTAAGCTTTTTTTAAAATTGTAAAAATTTTAAATACTTATTTAATGTTTTAATAGTCAACAATGTTGAATATCTACAGCCTTCATTTTTAATCTAGATTTTACATTACAACCACTTTTAATTGAAATGTATAAGCATGTCAACATTTTTAATGTATACCATTTAAAATTTTCTCATGTTTTTTTAAGAATGCATATACAAGTTTTGTTTTTAAATCATCATAATATCTATGCTGATAAAATTTATGACAATACAAAGGTTATAACGTTTTGTTTACATATTTTACTTTTGAAGCTTTCTTTTTTCTAAATACATTTACAAATTAACTTTGTTGCGCTAAATCAAAAGATAGGTATCAAATCTGTTGCTGATTGCCTCACTATTTGTATTGGTAGTTTGCGATTAAGTTTATGTCAGTAAACTGAATCAAATTTTTAAAAACCTACATTGTTCTTACAACTGTGTTCTTACAACTGTGCACTTTTCCACTTGCTTTTTTGTCAAATTTGTTGAACTGGTGATTTAACACTTTAAAAAGAAATTTACTGAATGACAGTATGTAGAGGTTTTAAGAAAATACACACAAAAAAAAAAGATTTTGTAGACTGCTCATTAAAATTTCAAGTTGAAAATAAAATTTTCTATTTTAAAAAATACACAGGGGTTCAAACAAAATATCCTAATTCCTTCCATAAAGTTAGTGCTGGCCCATATCCAACATCTTGTATTAACTGATAATTTTGATGCTAAGATAACTAAGTTTTTTTAAATGAAATAGAAAAAGGAACAACCTACATAATTGATAATTTTTATTCTGCAATCTAAAGTTGCATATAATTGCAACCGATATCACAATACTTCTGTCCATCAATGTATTTGTGAATGTTATAAAAAATCTAATCACATCCACTCAGTCCCATGTTGCATAATAAAACTACTCACACAAATGCATACAAGCATATTTTCAAATTGGTACAAAATATTTACATCATATACCAGTAAACCATCTGTTTAATAAGAAAAAAATTCTGTAAAAACAGATTGACTGAACACAGAAGACTGATCAACATCACAAACACAATTTTTAAAAAACTATTACTGAATAACATTAGGAGACTTTGTCGCCGCCAGTTTGTTTTGGTGGAGTTTGTTGAGACGGGCTATTTGTCACTTTAGAAGCCGGGGTGGTGGGCTGCAAAATTGACATTGACCTGTCTTTACTTGATCTGTAGAAAACATCTGTGGTTACTTCCCCTTGTTGCCATGCAACTTTCTTGGCATGTTGTTCTACAGCATCATTGACAATGTCGTCCATCATTTCCTCTGTCAAGATTCCTTTCTCAGATGCGTAAGCTTTGGCCTGAAGTTTTAGATTGTCATGATTAGAAATATGCAACCTTTAATTTTAAATAAAATCAGATTCCATACTTGTCCTACAATATTTCAACCCTACCTAAAACTGGTTATTTTAAGTCTGAAACATTTCTAAGTTACATTTTCATCTATGTAGGAATATCCAGTATATATCAGGCATAAAGATGAAATTGATCAAATGACAATTACCTGCCAAGCAACACCCAGTTTTGATATTTCTCTGCCAGAGAGACCCTCTGTTTTTTCTGCTATGTCTTGACATTTCTTTCCGTAGTCAAATTCAGCTACTCGTAATCGACTGATAAGATGAAAAGAATATTTATGATATTTTCACAATTAAACTAACAGTTCAATATTTGTTCTTATTTTGAATTAATTATACAAAAGGTAATCAAAAGACAGAATTTTTCTTCTTTACATTAAGTTATTGAACTTAAGCTGTAAAAGCAGAACTAAAAATCTAATGCCAGGATGTTATGATACAAATGTGAAAACCATAGTAACCAATACATACCCAGATTTAGCAGTTGCAGGTTCTAAAATAAACTTCTGGAAATAGTGTCTTATAAGTCTTTCCCTTTCTTCAATAGTTGGAATCTCAAATTCAACCATTTCATCCACTCTATCATTGATAGCCCAGTCAAACTGTTCTGGTTGGTTACTTGCAAGTACTAGCATAAACCTACAGACACATTTTTTAAAATAAAAATCACATTTAAAAAGCAACCAATTACGCTCTCACAAAACTAAACATTTAAAATTTAAAAAAAAAAATTAATCACCAGAAAGTAGTACAAAAATTAGCAATTTTGGGATAAAAATAATAGAATATGATCCTAACTTTACAAGGAAATTTAAAAAGTAGAAACATACATACTTTTGTGATTGTTCTCCAGTTCTGTACAAGAATGCATTTAGTGCTGCCCTCATATCTTCACTAATAACTTCCTATATCAAAAGTCAAAAAAATGTAAATAAGGCTGATGTTTGTATTCAAATGCTTATCAACAAAGATGTTAAGTTAATTTCTGAAACTTATCTGGATGAAAAGGGTGCCTTATGCACATATACACAAGATATTTTTTTTAAGCAATCAATTATTATACTTACAGTGCTTCTTTTCCTAAGAAAAGCATCAGCTTCATCAACAAATAAGACCACTCTGAAATTTTGAAAAGAAGTACAACTTTCAGCACAATTTATGCTCAAATGATCACAGTGGTGTACTAATCTTGAGTTAACTCAAGTCTGACATTTCTATAGTGCAATAAAAACTTAAGTGTGTGACACGGTTCCCACAACTTTTTGACCAGCTATGTAAGGAAAATTGCCTGCTATTCCAAGGATAAATTCCCTGCTAATTTTACATATAAATTTCAATGTGCATAACAACTGAACATAAACTTGCCAAATTAAATTTAATTAAACCATTAAAAAAAAGCAGACATTTTTTTAGGGACGCCACTTATTTTATAAGTGAATTTATAAAATTCAATCCCAAAACTTAAATTTGTAAACCCTAAAACTTGATGTCACATCAGAAAGTTGTAAAAATAAAATTTGACAGTAGTTACTTTCTGTGACAGTTGATTCATATTATGTTATATTATACATTCCTTTAGTGATTTTAACTTTATAACTATCTTCAAACAGTTAAAAGATTGTGCATCTAACAAAAATTGTTTAAAATAGTAGACTCCTGGACGAGAAATTTTACCTTAAAATTCCCATTTTTTCCAGGCTCTGTGGGAACACTGGTGTGAATATTAATTTTATTATGACTTTTTAAAGAATAAAATGCAGCATCACTTACCCTTTTCTACTAGTGTGAGCCCAGTCAAACACTTTATGCATTGCTGTGACTCCCTCTTTTCCCATTGGTGCTACATCACCTCCAGTCATAATAGCATAATGCATTCCTGAATGTTTAGCCAAACTCTGATTTAGTGAAAAACAAATATTTTAGTAATGCGTCCCTAAATGTTTAGCTAAAAAAAATGTTTACATAAAACAATACAGTAGGGAAAATTTTTATAATCAATAGTAAAATTTTAAAATTGAATTAAGAAATTCTTGCCTTGGCAAACATGGTCTTCCCTGTTCCTGGTGGACCATACATGAGGATATTTCTAAAATGGCCATTATTCTTCTTTGTATGTCTTGTAGCTATTGCTATATCTCTTAACTTTTCTTCTAATGAAGGCTGTTGATTAAAAAAACAAGAAATATTACAATTTTTGTTCAGCATTTGCTTTATTTAATATAAAAATAATGATTTATTCAATACTCTTATTAATAAGGAAATTGTTAAGACCTTGAGAATGATGCCTTTAAGGGGATCCTCTGGTTTTCTTATTAAATTTTGGACAGTCTGCATATGGAGAAAAATTTAAATATCAAGAATATGTCAAGTACACAAAATATCAAGCATACAGCTCTTAAATTGTATTTTCATTTTTCCAAGCTAAAAAAATACACATTAATGCAACAATTTAAAAAAAAAGAAGTGGGTGATATAAAATTGAAAAAAAAAAGGTGGAATCTAAGTAATCATACCTGTATTGGGTGTTTGATGGCTCTTCCAACAGTAAATCTAGAAGTCTCTCTAACCAAAGATGGCTTCCCTAGCCTAGATTCAATAGACCTAAACACTAAGCCAAAGCTGTGCTTTACTCCATAATAACCCCCAACTACTAAAGTTGCACCACCTGCCTGTAGAGAAGAATATTGAAAGCATAACAATGAAGAATTTCTATACTGATGTAACAAATCTAAAAAAAAACATTATTTAGCACATTAACATATACTCACAAATGCCGTTATCATACTCCAGTTATTTAGAAAAGCAGACAAGCCTGTTCCTAAAACTTGGCCATATGTGCTGTAAAAATAAAGCATCTTTCAAAAAAGAATGTCATAAAAGATTACTTTTTCCTCTATTGCCTTTTGATTTAAGCTAATAGTTTGTGTTTGATAGAAAATTACATTAACACTTATAGTGAAAATGGAACACAAATTCTGACATACTTAATTGAATCAATCTTTGTCTTTCTGGCTTCCTCTGCTTTTAACTTGATCTGTTCTTTAATTATGTCTCTATTTTCTCTCTCCATCTTTGCTCTACCTCTCATTTCAGCTTCTATTCTCATCATATCATGCTTATGACGAATTTCAGCTTCTTTCTCCATTGTTGCTATTAATAGAAATATTTAAATAGTTATTTGGTAATCAAATAATTCCAAAAGAATCTGAGAATGGTTTTTTTTAAACGCTTACATTACCTATTCTAAGGGCTTCCTGCTTTTTAACAGATTCTTCTTGTTTCCTTAGATTTTCTTCATTCATGCGGGCCTAAAATAAATATGCATTTGTAATGACTTTCATGTTTACACATGCATAATGACAAGGTAATTCATTCATAAGTATCTGTTTTACTATATGAAATTTAGTAATCAACTTCTTTTAAACTTAAACATTTTGTATTATCTTTTAATTTCATAAATAAATCCTGACTAATCAATTAATTCCTTATTGTGTTCATAAAATGTAAGATTTTCTTCATACTTATAACTGAAGATTAATAAAAGTTACTAAGGTATCAAAAGTAACAACTTAACTATAGCATATGTAGCATAACAGAAAAAACCTTACAACTGCTTAGGGATGTTATTTTGAAAGCACTATTATAATTTGGTTAATGATTTTTAGAACTATGTCTAGAAACTTGCTAGAATTTTTCACCTGCTGGGCTAGCTGATCCTCATATCGCTTTCTTGCCAAGGAGTCATCATATTGAGATTTATACTGATGTTGCTTTGTTTCCTCTACTAGTGTTTTTCTCCTTTCTTCACCTGAAACCCTGACTTGGTCTAGTTTTAGCTGTTCCAAATGAGCTTCATATTCCTAGAATAGTTTTTTTAAAGTTATTGCATACCGATTTGATATTTTATAGGCCTAAATAAAAATTTAATATTATTTTGGCCAGAAAGTATTCAGTGAAAGTAAGCTCAAACCTTAATTTGCTTCTGTGTTTCGAGAGCTTTAGTTCTTTCTTGTTCTTGTATAAGTACCAGTGCATCTTTAGCATGCTCTGAAATTTAAAAAATTAAAGTAGTAGGCCTATGTGTATTTGTTATACCAGTGTCCTATTATGGCACAATAATAGAGTCTTCTTAATTCTTAATGTTAGGTTATTGGAGGTTAATTAATACTAGATTAAAAAAGTCATATGTGTGATACATAGATCTATGATTTGTTAATATGTCAATGCTGTCATTCACCTAACCCTAATTTGACATTTCTAACCACTTGAGATTACAAAACGAACAACCTAACTTCAGAAGTCTTACTATTAGTATTATCCTAACAGGTCCTAACTAGATTCTAGAACCTGGATCTTTAGATCTAGATCTAGATTCTAGACACTTGAGTTCACTAGAGCTAAATTTATAAATTAAAATTAAAGATGCTGAATCAGAAATCTCATCCCTTGGAGACAGAGACAGTCTTCAAAAATTACCAGAATTTTAATTGCGCTAGCCTATCCATTATGCATTGTAATATATCTAGGCCTAATGGATCTAATTTAAACTAATTTTAATTAAAAGAACTAGAATCTAGATTAGATTCTAGATCTAGAATCTATAACAGTATTAACAGACGAACTTGAACTTTCCAACTCCTTGGCTGCTTTTGCTGCTCTCTCCAAAGCCGAAGAATCAAATGAATATTCCATTTTCGAATGTTTCTTGTTGCCATCGTCACCGTCTGAACCTCCAGGGGGTGGTGGAACCTGGGGAAACCCAACAGTTGGCTGAGGTGGACTTTTTACGCCGAACAGCCAAGACATTTTTATATTTGATCAGATTTTACAAAAGGATGATAACACAACGTAACAAAGTACGCCGGTGACTTTCACATTTGTAAGTCTTGCAGCATGCAGATTTTCACGTGGAGACAGTGTGCGCATGCGCTATTATTATTTTCATGCAGATTATTAAAAACTTGCATTAGGCTAAAGTGGTGGAACAACAGTTACGAGATAGCCTTGGGCCTTGTCTACTAATAAGTATACTTGTAAGCACAGAGCCTAGGGCTTAGATTTACAAGTAACAGGATCGTGCAATAAAATTACACAGGGTGTATTTTTTAAAATCATTTTTTTAATAGTTAGGCCTATATTTTTCGGTTATATGTTGCACGATCCCTATGAGTATGAATACTTCAACTTTACCATACTAATGCCTAAAAGCTAATGCGTAAAATAATATTTAAGTCCGTCTTGATACATAGGCCTATCTAAAATCTAAACGTTTTAGTTACGCTAGGGTTAGCGCAGTTAGCGGCCCGGTTAGGGTCTGAGCCTTTACCCAGTCCAGTTATTATATTAATGTGCCGACAGGACGATACAATATCTAGACTAACACTAACAGTCAGTGTTTCTTCCAGACTTTTTTCTCCGGGGGGAGGGGCACTTGAAATCTTCGGGGGGGGGGGGGCGGTAAACTTTCTTCGGGGGGGGGGCGGACACTGTTAAAAATATATATTTTCTATATAAATTATATAAATTTCATTTCGTTCGGGGGGGGGGGGGCGGTAAAAAAATTTCGGGGGGGGGGGGGGGGGCTTTGCCCCCCCCCCCCCCCCCCCCCCCCCCCGAAGAGATGCCTGGAAGAAACTCTGCTAACAGTTATAATTTTTCTGCCGTAACACTATTGGGATCAGATCAGGTGAAGAAAATGGCTGTTTTTTAGTTTGGTTAAAAATTGCCGCTTGTCCATATTCACTGAAGCGTGAAACCGTTTTTACACTTGCGACATGTATACTGTACATGTCTAGAATTACTAGAAACAAAAACGCAAACAGATTATACATATTTGGTGGGGGAAAATGTTTTCATCTAACATTAACTTATTAGTTTTATTTTTTTAACATTTAGGGCCTATAATATATATGCGGCTAGATCTATTGCAAATATAATTTATTTTTAAAATAAACCAGCCGAATTTTCAAGCCTCTCTGATCTCACTCCATCAACACCCGCAATGACTGCGGTCTGGTGTTACAGTGTTACGTTACAACCTTTGGCGACGAGCGCTCGTGTAGCTGTTAACATGTTAACAGAGTTTCTTTCAGGCATCTATTGGAGGGCGGTGGAAGAATGGTGCTCCCTGACGATTTTCTACGTATTTCTCGACGAAAGCTATGATGTCGGAGAAGGAAGGTGTGGTTAAAAAAAATCGGCTAAAATTTTGTCACGTCATTATGCACGACCACAATACAATGGAGAAATGTTGTTTTAATAGAATACAACTTTACCGACAGTTATTTTACAAAGGCACCCACTCTCATTCACTCTCTTCTTATGGCCAGATAAAAATGTGGCTGAGGTGTGTATGGACGGACACGGTTGCATGTGAAAACTACACACGAAAAGTTCACTCCGACTGCCTTGCTTGTGTATGATATTTCTCTGCCCCCCCCCCCCCCCCCCCCCCCGAAGAGGTGCCTGGAAGAAACTCTGCGGTTAAATGTACAAAAGTTAAAACAATGCTTGCTTCCTTTTGGTCACTAATGAAATCCCTAACACAGTTAAACGTTCAATAGTTTTACTTTTGAATTAAAAAAAAACAAGTTTGTTTGGGGTCATCCATAAATGACGTCACGCTTTTTTTGACGATTTTTACCTCCCCCCCCCCCCCCCCCTCACTCCGTCACACATCGTCACAAAAAGCCAGACCCCCCCCCCCTAATATGACGTCATACCTCAGCCTACAACCCCCCTCAAAATTGCAGTTGAATTTTTTTTAAACATCGATATTTTACCAAAATCTTGTCAAAATAGAGTATTTTAATCAATTCCTATTACAATTAATTAAAACAGTTTTCTAAAACGCGAAATAACGTCTAAAATTCGTTTTCTAACATTGCTTTTTTATAATGCAAAAGTGTGACGTCGCACCATCTGAAACCGTCACAAAATTACGGATCCCCTCCCCCCTACTAGTGTGACGTCATTTATGGACGACCCCTTTTCTTTCTTTTACGTAAAGTATATTTAAAAGCATTTTGTTGTCAAGTGTTTTTTTTTTTTTCATGGTTATTTCATTTTAAATAGCAAATATTAAATCTGCTAAAGGGGAGTTTATTTTTAATGCAAAAAAACACAGTCCTTTTACTTATAGCGAATGTGCTACTAATGATCACGTGTTTGTAAGTTGGGAGGGGGGGGGGGCGTGACTTAAAACATGTGAGGGTCCATCACTTAACTTGACTGGATAAAATACCGATGCTGATGTAACGTGAAGTTAAAAATGAATGCGATATGGATAAATGCTACATTTTGATTATTTTAAGTTTCGATTGTTTCATTTCAACAGCCACCCTTTTAGGCATTCTGGCCCCAGGGTGTGGGGAAGGGACAAGCTGTCTCGGGTCTGAGTGCTGCACTCGAGGTTAGACCACGATGACCCCCTTTGTTATGAGGCTGACATTCACATTTATCATATACGAATATATAAGTGTATAATAGATTGACGACAGAAGCCTGTGGTTGTATATAACACGTTTAATGGGTCTAACTACATCATGATCGTAATACCAGAGAGGACGGGAGGAAGTACTCAAGGGACATCACTCAAGATAACAATATAATAAATATAACTAATACAGAAGAGTGAGTTCCCTTGACCTCACAATTATTTCAATCTATTACATCCCTTTACCCTTAGAACACAATAACACATCTCTCAATAGAACAATTGATAGTATCCTAAAATCACCAATTATATTGTAACATGAACACTATGGTAGATTACATCCTTACAAACAATGCACAATATGCTACAACATAATCAAAATACAAAACAATAATGTCAAAGTCCTTTTGACCTTTAGAATCATAGGTCTAACTTATTTGGGACCTTGATTGTCCTGCTTGACCTTCTCAGTGGCTTTTGATTTGGTGACTCAATATTCTGACCATCTGGATTCTCTATCTCAGGAGGTCTAGTATTTAAATCATTAACTCCAGAATTTACATTTTCTGACTCCAGACAACTTGGTTCACTCATATCAACAGAACTTGGTTGTAGAACAAACTGAGTTGGTGTCAACTGATCAGACTTGGTGGGATTGACAGATTCACACTTATTATCTGCACAAGTTATTTTTAACTTTATAAGACACAGGTCCTGTACATTGAACAATTTGACCTGGTATCCATTTTTCCTTTCTCCCATAATTTCTTAGATACACATTCTTATTAACACCAAATTCTCTTTCAATGCATGTGTTGTCATGATTTAATGGAACTATTTTTGAATTGGCATCTGAAAGTATTAAATGGCAAAAATCTTTTCCTTTCTTTTGATGTTACCCTTTTAGTTTCTGTAAGTGCTAATGATGTTAGCAAAGTTGTTTGATGATCACATTCCTTCTTACTAATGTATTTAAAATTGCCATATCACCATAATCATTTATTAAGTTACAAGTACTTTGTTTAGGCAACTCTGACTGATAATGGACTGCATCTTCTCCATCTTTTATATTATCTTCACAAAGGTTTTTATTTCTTATTTTATATGGCTTTAAGTCCTCATTCACTGACTCTTCAGGCCAACCATTTTTACAGTATTCATATACTTTTATTAAGCACTCATCTTTTTGTGTTTCTCTTTTAATATCATTCACATTTATATTGGAGTTATCCATGATAGTGAAGAGAACAAATACATCTTCTGGTACATAGCTCAGGCTTTGGTTTTTTAAAGGTAATCTACTAAGACTATCTGCACTATTCTCAGATCCAGGTTTGTATTTCAATTCATAATTGTATGCAGTTAGTGTGATAGCCCATCTTTGAATTCTTGGTGAGGCATGCTCAGGTAGGGTTTTGTTTTCTCCAAATAAACCTAGCAATGGTTTATGATCTGTAATGATGGTGAACTTCCTACCAAACAGAAACTTATGAAATTTCTTAACACCAAAAATGATGCCTAAGCCTTCCCTATCTAACTGAGAATAATTTTTTCTCAGCCTGGTTCAAAGATCTACTGGCAAAAGCAATGGGTCTGTCACCCTTCTCATCCATGTGGGACAAGACTGCTCCTACACCATCTGGTGAAGCATCACAATGTCAATACAAGTCTTTTCCCTGGGTCATAGTGAGTTAGTAAGGTGTCAGCAGACAAAGCCTCTTTTGCTGTATTAAAAGCAGTATCTTGTTGTTTACCCCAGTGCCAAGTTGCATTTTTCTGTAGCAGCTTGTACAGTGGTGATAGTTTACCAGACAGATTTCCTATGAATTTTGCATAGTAATTTATTAAGCCCAAAAAAGCTCTTAGTTGTTGGGTATTTTTTTAGGTTTGGGTGCTTCTTTAATGGCTTTAGTTTTCTCAGGTTGAGGTCTGATGCCTTGCTTGCTTAATATATAACCAAGAAAACTAATTTCTGGTCAGCATGAATTGACATTTATCTTTGTTTATCTTTAAACCTTTTCACCAACAATTTTCAATACTTTATCAAGTGTTTTAAGATGTTCAGTGTCATTCTTACCAGTTATGTACACATTGTCAAAGTACACACAAACATTTGGAATGTCCTTAAAAATACTGTCCATGACAGCTTGGAAAATTCCAGGGCTAGATGATATGCCAAAACATAGTCTTTCATATTGGTAGAGTCCTTTATGCGTGTTTATTGTCGTATAGACTTTTGAATCTGGATGCAGTTCTAGTTGAGTGTAAGCATGACTAAAGTCTAATTCAGTGAATTTGTCTCCTCCTGCCAAATTCAAAGAAATTTCCTCAATGTTAGGTATAGGGTACCTATTTAGCTCTATTTGCTTATTCAGTGTAGTTTTATAATCTCCACAAATTCTTATAGAACCATCCTTCTTTAACACTGGCACAATGGGTGTCGCCCAATCGGAATAGTCTACCTTCTTTATGATGCCATTAGATTCCAAT